GGGATATAAGCCAGCCTCTGGCCCGGCTACTTCATCTCAAGTTCTCCTGTATATAATAAAGTATCAGTTGAAATCACTCCTCCATGCATCAGTCTCAGTACTTTATACTGGCGACGAAGGTGGGATCCCGTTGAGCGAACCTGACGATTCAACCAGCCAAGAACCGAGCACCGCCCCATCGGCCGCCGCCGCACCCCACATCGCTCATGAGCAGCACCGCACTGTGCTCCACTCCCCAGGGCAACACTCCCTGCTTCACCGATCGTCATGGCTGTCACTTTGGGACACCTTGAAGTCTTTGACCCCACACACCCTGATTTCTGGGAATCATGGGTAGACCAACTGACCAGCTTCTTCTCCTACCATGAGGTCACCGATGCAGGCAAGAAACAAGCCTTACTCCTCAGCACATGTGGGGTGGCCACCCTCCGCCTGGCCAAGGGCCTCCTGGGGCTGAAGAAACTAATGGAGAACACATACGATGAGATCGTCGAGGCCCTCAGGAAGTACTATGCGCCAAAGCCCACCATGATGGCCAAGCGCATGGACTTCCAGCAAAATGGCCTCTGCATTCATGGCCGAACTCCGTCAGCAGGCGGTGGACTGTGAGTTCATGAAGGTGGAGGGAAACATCCTAACCCAATTCATTTGGGGCCTTCAAGACGCCAAACTCCGCCGCAAACTTGTAGGTACCGCACACCTCAAGTTAGATGTAGCTCTCCAGATGGCCACGCCACCGCGTTCGAGGGCTCACACTGTGACCGTCCACCATCTTTAACACACATGTTCCCAGCTGCGGCATCCGACAACTCAGATGAAGAAGTTGTGCTTGTTCACTAGCCCAGCTGCAGGAAGCTACCTACACCATCGGGAGTGACCGGACACCACGACAAGTCTGCTTTCCAAGCACCGTGTGTCAGCTGTGGGGACGCACACGAACGCTGGACGTGCCGTTTCTGCAACGCCATCTGCTGAACATGCGGAAAGCAAGGCCACATCGCCTGCACCTGCCGCTCCCGCAGTGCCCGGAAGAAGACATCCACTCACCAGGAGGACCTGGACCTGCACACGCTGACCATCAACCACCACCAGCACCAGGTACTACAAATTTGCCCCCTGAAGCCCCTAACAAAATGCATGTTACAGTGTTAATAGAGGGGTCCCCCGTCGTATGGAAGTGGACACGAGCTCCTCATTTTCCATAATCTTGGCAGAGACATTGCAGAAACTCTGCCCCCAGGGTTTGGATCATAGTCTATCACTATGGGACTTCCAGAAAAACCCCGTGACCGTCAAGGGCTCAGGCAAATTCAGGGTACAATTCAGAGACTTTGATGGCCCTTTAGAATTGCTGGTGGTGGAAGGGAAACTCAACTGCCTGCAGCTTTAAGCATTATAGAAGATCCCAGAAGTTTCAAGAACATCTTCAAAGCCAAAGAAACACTACCTCTTCTTCTAAAGGAGTGTTCTCTCACACTGAAAGCTTGTCAAGATGTTTCAGTAACAACCCTTTACTAAAGTACAATACCTACAGGAGGCTGATACAGGAGGCTGAAGTTGGTTTCCACTTCCCAGTTCCTTATTTATGACTTATTCATGAACCCAACCAAAAGTACTAAGGATAGTTTAAGAGCTCTGCACCCCAAAATAAGGTTCGGAACACCACAAATCATATGCCCACACATTCAAGGAACTCTGCCCTAGTGAAGAGAATGTAAAGGTGGAACCAAGTATAAACCCTTGTGTTTAAGAGTCAAAAGAATATAAAGATTGACTGATTGATTCAATTTATAAACCGCCCTCCCCTGGACGGCTCAGGGCGGTGTACATCATATACCCATGTATCAATAAATAAAACAATACAAGTTTGATTAAAAAAACAAAACAATATAATATTACAGTGTGATCTTCTAATGGCATCTAATGTCAATTTATGCCCTCCCCATGACAGGGAAAAAGATATTCATGCCCCCCAGCCGCTGAGGGCCCTAATGCCCTGAAAGTTCACAGTACAGTTGTGAGACCAGTATATATGGCGTGTGAAATAGTAAATCACAGGAAACATGGAACTGCATGCTTGTTTCCAGTACCTTTTTATGAAGTGTCTCTGGACATTTGAGTCTTCCCACGTGGGGGAGGGAACAGGACTGTCCATGACTGATGCACAGCAGCAATGTGGTTGGGAAATGGACATCCCTTCAGAATATTGCTGAAGACAGCTTCTATGTCCTCTATGTTGCCATGTCCTGAGCTCTTTAGTTCCTTCAGCCCATCATATAGATGTCAATGACCATACTTCCCAATTTGTGGAAGTAAACAAAATGTTGTTCTGTGTTATAATTTATGCCAACAACTTTGTATCTAGAGAACAGAAGAAGTTACTAGTTTTTGTGTAGCTGTACATATGCTGTTGAGGTAGAGAGAAAGGAGGGATTCAGTCTTTATGGGGTTTTTTTTCCTTTTGACTTTATGAGGAAGTAAACAGGACATCAGGATTTTTCTTCCATAGACATTGGAATAAAAGATAATAATATATTAAAAGTTGGGAGCTCTAAATTCCACAGTCGTGGAAACAGGTGGCTTGGTGGAAAGCATTTGCTACAAGACAGAATTTCTAACCACCTCGACCTGGATAGGTCAGGTTAGCCTGATCTCATCAGATCTCAGGAGTTAAGCAGGGTCAACTCTGGCTAGTGTTTGGATGGGAGACCATCAAGGAACACCGGGATCGTGACGTGGAGACAGGCAACAGCAAACCACCTCTGAATGTTTCTTGCCTTGAAAACCCTAAGGAGTCACTGTAAGTCAGCTGTGACTTGCCGGGAAAACACGAAGACTTTCTCACCACCACCACCACTGTGACTCATTTCAATCTCTCTAGAAACAGATAACTAAACTGATCATGATGAGGATCAACAATTCCTTGCTATTTATTGTCAACAGAACTTTGCAAAGATTTCTTTTCAAAAAACACCGGTCCACATTCACTGGCACATTCACATTCTGTGTCATTGTTATGAGATGTTGCCAGAGTTTGTAGATGCACAAAACAACCTGCATCAAGATTTAGGTGTGCACCTTGAGCTGTTATTTCTTCTCCATATATATATTAACCCTGGTTACTTTATTGTTGCTAAGTACAGTATTCTTGGTAGCCTCACAGACTGGACAAAACCGTGGTGTTAGCTGGGCAACATTAACTATGCTTGATAACCTCTGTTCATTGGAAGAAAGCAGTCCTTGCATTTATCACTGGATAGAAGAAGGTGAATCTTCGTGCTTCTTACAGATAAAAGATGTTTCTGCTTCTTGAACCTTTAGAATTGTTTTAGTTCTTAGCCCATTTCTGTCTTCATGCCAAAAATTATACAGCCATTTCCTAAACTGTATGGTATATGAATGTAACGTACTTGCTGTCCTTCCCCAAATGGAAGTGGTCTTTCAATAGCCTTCTTTCTGTAGCAAAGGATACTGTTCAAAGATGACTTTGTCCTCAAAAGTGAGATTATTATGTCTGGTTTTCCAAGGTATTTTCACAAACCCCAGTCGATGACAGAATGCTTGATAACCTCTGTTATGCAAAGACACAACTCCATATATGCAAAGACGCACATTTACTAAGCTCCTGACATAGCTTTGAGTATGTAATCATAGTGCAAACAGCCACCTTATATCATGTTTACTAAGTTCTTTGAAGCCCAAAGCATCTCACGGACACTTGCCTAAGTCATATGAGACTAACTCCCCAATTATTGTGCATTTAACACACACACATGACTCTCCCCAGTATCATCTTAGGGAAGACCAACAATCTTTTGGAGGTCTGAGCTTTCAAGAGTCAAAGCTCACCTGGTCAGATATGACTTGAAATTGAAAACTGAGACATTATATCCCAGTCAGAAGGTGGGAAGAGTGCCACAGAGAAAGGGGCCAGAATGCAAAGAAGCAATGTACACTGTAATGAGTTTGATTAGAACAGAGGGGAAATGCTTGGGTATAGATTAACATCTGTAATGGGTCAAGAATTCTTTCAGCCCTGGTAGGTCCATTGTTCTGAATGTGTGAATGAACTTCAGTTCAACAATCTCAGTTTTTGATCTCCCCCTGAAGCTTCTCTAAGGAGTGCCACTTCTCTGTCAGCAACTCAATGACCTTGCGCCAGTGTCTGCATGTACATTAGTCCTTGGGAACCCAACACTGGAGCAATTATCACAAGAACTGGGCTTTGGATCAAGAAGCAGCATAGATCCCCTTGGAGAGCAGAATCCCCCGAACGTAGAGACATATGATATGTGGTGGTCCAAACTTTATTTTGGATAGCAGAGGGCATGTAGCCATTCCAGTTCCTTATTCTAATCTTCTTTGTAATACAGGCTTCTGGGTGGCAACCCAAACAAAAGCTTGTGGTGCCAGAACCAGTGACCGAACCAGGCACCACTGTATGTCTTCCTGCAGGGGACAGTGTCTGGAGCGTGGGGATGTGTGATTTGGGGTGGTGCAAAGATTGTGTTGGGTACAGCTTGTCCCCAGTTCCTGCATATCCATTTGTCCTGGGGGCACCCCACCTTGCAGCAGCCAGCACAAGAATTGGACTTTGGACCAGGAAACAGCATATATCCTTCCAGAGGACTGAGTCCCCAATTGGGGGAGTATGTGACGTGTGGTGGTCTAAACCTTATTTTGGGGTGCAGAGGGCATGCAGTTGTTCCACTTCCTTATTCAAATCTTAATATTAAGGCCTGTCATACTAACAAATTTACCCTTAGGATAGGATGACAAGAATTAGCAAATCAAACATTGCTTTACAGGGATAAGATATTGTTCAAACAGTGTAAGAACAAGGTACATTTTTTATGTTTATTTAACAGTACAGTTCCACTTTCAGAATGTTTTATTTTTCCAGTTTACAGAATGCAGAGTATTACTTTGTAAATTACCAGCATCTTGTTACCACCGTAACCTAAGTGCTTAGAAATAGTTTACCACCAACATGCCTGTTATTCAAGAACAAATATCAAACTAGTTTATTGAAGATTTCTACTTTTTTATTCTGTTCTCCTTTTTACCAGTTTATAAAAATTCAATATACAAAAAAAGATGAAAAGGACATATTAGAACTTGCTGAATACATTCGTCCACAAACAGACTCAAGTAGCAATATAAATTCATTCAGCCTACCGGATTAGAACCTTATTTGTATTCTATGGTACTGTGAAGCAAACAGATTTTCTTCATAAGAATAGTTTGGTAGCTTTTAAAAGTTTTTTGTACAGGTAAAAATCAGGCTGGTTTACTCATCTTCAGAAAAGCGGATGTGCTTGTTTATCTCCTGTGTCTTGGCCAGTCTCATTTTTTCAGCTTTTGCAATTAGCTACAGAAGACAAAAAAGGGCATGAAAAAGAACTCCTAAGTACAGTATATTGTCATTTTAATTCACCAATTGTTACAGAAGAGGACAATTAACAAATCACACCAACATTTACAACTAAATCCTTCCAAAAAAGGGAGGGGGCAGAGGACCCTGCTGATATTGGGGAAGATCTGGCTAAATTAACATTAATCACCACTTTAAATGGCTGAAAGTGAATAGGGCTTAAGTGCTCCACACTGGCAGGATCTCAGTCAGAAATCTAACAATTAACAAGGAATTTCTCTAATCCAAAAATGATTAATCATTCCTTCTCCTCAAGGTATTTGCTTTTAAAAATCTGGTGGAAGATGTTCAAATTTAGCATTTTTAAAGCCCTTGAACACAAAGTGCAGCCTGCCTTTTAAAAATACTGGATTGCAGCCAAGTGATGAAGGACAAGATGAGATGCAAGGAAAATACATTAAGAATCCACATTTTTAGAATCACAAAGTAACCTGACATTCATATGGGAAGAATAAAATGCAATGCAATTCTATTGGTATTTCCTGTAACTGAGACAAAGAGACTTTGCTATTGGTTAGTGCACATTTGAATTTGACTTAGTCCTCACTTGATTTGAACATCAACACAATTACATCATCTTGGAGCTGCTGCTAGCTGAAAAAGGGAACATGACTGTATGACAATTTAATACAAAAAATGTACAACGAGAAAAAAGGTTGCATTCAGTTTCCACTGAGCCAATGTGGTTGTTGTGTTTAGGCTCCTCTGACTTCATGTCTTTTTGTTTATTGCCTTTGTCCACCCTACCCTAAACAAGCACTCTGCTTCTATTTCCCTAGGATCACAGACTGTGTTTTTCCTCATGTCCTATTGTGGGTACATAAGATAAAGTATGAGCTGAAAAGATGACTGATAAACCTCATCTATAACAAAAAAGAATGTGTCTATGTGGAGACCTACCACAACATTTTGAGAATCACACTTTTGTGGAAAAGATACCATATTTTTGATTTGTTAAGCTACACTCTCTCCCATGCCTATGTATCTAGGAGTCTTTCATATTCAGAATTCATACTAGGATGCAGTTCCAAGAAAGGATTGTATGGAATGTACTTTCATATCTATACACATTCAATTTACTAACTGAAACAGGAGAGTGCCCTGCCAGTCTTTTAAATCAGTAAAAATTAATAAATCTAGTTTATTCTCCCTTCTGAAAATCTGATCAACACAATGGGCAACAATGACACATCTGCAATTCCTCTCTCAGTTAAGGATAAACTGATCAGAGACTTCTGTATATTATCCATTTTTCCTATTACTGGACTGTAAAAAATTATTTAACTAGCTAGCTGTCCTGGCTAGATTTTGAATGAGAAATATAAATATTCCTCAACGGGTTTATATTAATGGATATACACAGCAACATTCATAACCTCCTGTTCTAGCAGTACAATCCTCTACACAATACAGTGGGAATCAGCATAGGACTACAGTGCAAATCTAGCCAGGACAAATCTTTATTTTTTAAAAAAGTTATCAAATATATAGCTTAAGCTAAACGATAAACATGAAGACAGTGTGAGAAATACATTATTGGAAGAACAGACATCTCTTTACCCACCCACCTCTACCCATAAATAATTCAACCAAAAATTACAGTTTTGGGGAGTAGTCATCTCCATGGTTACAGAAATAATTGGCTATACCATTTCCATTAAAATATAGGGAAATTCTGTTCTTAAGAGAGATGATTCAAGAGGAACACAGAATTAGAAACTGAAGCAAAGTGAAAGTCATTTGAAGTCTGAATTAAAGAATGTTAATTTCATACTATCTTTAAAATTAACTGATTTAGTTAAACTATGAGGCAGTAGATTAAATGCAAATCTTATTTATTTTATTTATATCCTGCCATTAACCCCAATGGGGACCCAAAGTGGCTTACATCATTCTCCTCTCCTCCATTTATCCTCACAGCAACCCTGTGAGGTAGGGTAGGCTGAACATGTGTGTTTGGTCCAAGGTCACCCAGCAAGCTTCCATAGCAGAGTGGGGATTCGAACCTGGGTCTCCTAGATCCTACTCCAACACTTTAACTACTACACCACTCTGGCTTCTTTCTCACAAGAAGAGCTTACATCAGATTTTGGGAAGAGTATTTCATGTAACAGATCAAAATGGATCAATTATTACTGATCCACTGGCAATTTAAATTCTGCATGCTACTAGAAATAAAAAAAAAACTGGAGAAAATAAAAATTACCTTCCGTAACCTTAAATGTAAGTTTGCCATCACAATCATATTATGGCAAGCCTGTGCTTCAGTTTCTGTCCTGTAGTTCCCAGTTCTACCCTAAGACAAAGGTCAGGATCCCACTCCAAAGCAAAGTCATGAGTGGTACTGCTATTTTGCACTGTGGCTGGAAAAAGGAATCCTCTCTCCTTTTTCTAACAGGCATGGTGGAAATTGTACTACACCTGCATTTGCACTGAATACAGAAAGGAGTGTGAGATCCCACAGATGATTTCCACCTATTTTTGTGCAAGCAAAAGCCCTAAAATTACTCCTTACTATCTGCTTGTGGTAAGGGAAAGTGATGGTATCCTAACTGTCTTCTGTGTGCATAAGACACAACATAAGTTATTTCTTAATTTTAAAAAATGAAATCAGGCAAACTGTCTGCTGTACATTCCACTGCCCCATATGCACAGTTATTTCACTAAAAATTAAACTGAAATATTGTGTGTTGGTGGAGCCCTTGCCTCGTGCACTAAGTACAATTTTCCTTTTCACTCGTTTCATTTGCTTACTTCATCCAGTCCTCCTTAAGTCCCAGTGAGAAAGGCAGACTATAAATAATGTAAATAAATTTATATCCTGCCTTTCTCCCTGATGATGAGGACCCAAAGCAACTTTGATTGTTTTCCTCTCCTCCATTTAAACCTCACAACCACCCTATGTGGTAGGTTAAGCTCTGAGCCTCTGACTTCCCCAAGGTCATCCACCAAGCTTCCATTGCAGAATGGGGATTCATACCTGGGTCTCCCAGATCCTAGACTGACACTCCAATCACAACACACTGGCTGTTATGCATTGCTGGATTCAACCCAAAGGCAAAGAATTCATTTGGGAGGAGGGGGCAGCATTGGTGTCCCTAAGGACAGATGCTTCACCTAGATATTGCATTCAGGATCACCATTTACATGACTTTGCACCAGCCATTAGCACGGAAGTGGCTTATGCAAATACCACCTCAGTGAATTAACATCGGAAGTTCCAATCTCTGTAAGGCTTCAGTTACATGTATTCAAATAGGCAAAGAAAATGAAAAACAGGATGCAAGACTTATAATAAGAACTTTTAAGATTCATGACTAAATGAAAACCATTTTGAAAAATACTGACTTCATTCCTCACAATCAAATATTATGAACAGAAATTCAAATCATATTAGTTAAGGTAGAATTTAATGTGGCTTCAAAAAAATCACGAGGAAGGTCACCAATAGAATGTTCTCTTTGGAAAGACTTGCTTCCCAGCTCTGGTCACTTCTCTACTATATTTATAAAGCTTCCTTCACTTATCTGTAATGCTTCCATCTTGCTAATCATGGAAATGTATCCATAAAGCTTCTGCACCCTAACAATATCTCTGTAAAGCTTCTTCAACCTGACATCATTGAGCTAAAGGCTACTCAGTGAATAAACCAATAAAACACTCTGAAATTGCAGGTGAAACAGAGGATCTGAATATCTTGAGGGAGTATGTGGTGAGAAATCACCGCAAACAGGTCATTATACTTTGACTGGACAGAGATTATTTTGAAGCATGAAGGTCATGGAAGTGTAGAAGTACAATTATTTTCAAAGTGAACAAAAACATGTGAAGCTTCCTTATATCAGACCAATGATTTATCTAGTCCATGGGTCCCACAGCAGGTCAGAAGGCAGATGATACAGTAGTGTACTGAAGTTACACATGGAACACCACCTTGAGTTCCAGTACGGAAGGCGGGAGAAAATAAATATAGCTAAAAAACCCACTACTAATTGTATACTACAACTGACGGTGGTATTTCTCAACACTTGCTACAAGAGATCTTTTTTAAACTGGAGACTGAACCTGGAACCTATAAATGCAAAATGTGCAACCTCTGCTGCTAAGTGACAGCCCTCGTCTACAAAACATAAATCAGAAGAGCATACCTTCTCTGTGCGCTTCCATCTTGCTAATCATGGCAATGTATCCATAAAGCTTCTGCATCGTAACAATATCTCCGTAAAGCTTCTTCAACCTGATATCATTGAGCTAAAGGCTACTAAGTGATGAAACCAATAAAACAGTCTGAAATTGCACATGAAACAGAGGATCTGAATATCTTGAGGGCATACATGGTGAGAAATCACCGCAAACAGGTAATTATACCTTGACTGGACAGAGATTATTTTGAAGCATGAAGGTCATGGAAGTGTAGAAGTACAATTATTTTCAAAGTGAACAAAAACATGTGAAGCTTCCTTATATCAGACCAATGATTTATCTAGTCCATGGGTCCTACTGCAAGTCGGAAGGCAGATGATACAGTAGTGTACTGAAGTTACACATGGAACACCACCTTGAGTTCCAGTACGGAAGGCGGGAGAAAATAAATATAGCTAAAAAACCCACTACTAATTGTATACTACAACTGACGGTGGTATTTCTCAACACTTGCTACAGGAGATCTTTTTTAAACTGGAGACTGAACCTGGAACCTATAAATGCAAAATGTGAAACCCTCATCTGCAAAAAATAAATCAGAAGAGCATACCTTCTCTGTGCCCCGTTTCTTTTCTCGTGGTTGATTGAGTTTAGCTTGTCGATCCACCAAAATCTTCTGCCAATATCTCTGTTCATGATCACCTTCATGCAAGCATGATAGTAAACACACTGTTATTATTCTTAATCTATCAAGATGTGCCATTTCCTGTCTTTCCTTTCTCATAGCATCAATTTGTCATTGCATGAGATACTTTCAGCTTGTGCAGTCTCAAGGATGTGGACAGGATTCTTAGAAGTTTGAGACCTACCACCTGTTTGTATTACTCCTAACCCTCCTGGCTGCTTAAACCTGCCAGGGGAGCGCCAGTAAATACCTCCTTGAGAGATGCGGTGGTCACTCCTGCCTTGAAGTGGGCAGTGGTGCATCCACTCCTAAAGAAATCTACTCTGGACTCTGGAGAGTTGAATAACTACCATCCAGTCTCAAATGTACCATTCTAGAGCAAGGTGATTGAACAAGCAGTGGTTGGCCAACTTCAGACTCCTGAATGAAGCAGAAGGTTCAGATCCTTTCCAATCTGGTTTCAGGCCTGGTTACGAGACTGAAACGGCCTTGGTTGCCCTGGTAAATCACATGCACTGGTAGATGGACAGGGGAAGTGTGATCCTGTTAATTCTCCACTACCGCCTGTTTGTATTACTCCTACCCCTCCTGGCTGCTTAAACCTGCCAGGGAAGTGCCAGTAAATGCCTCCTTGAGAGATGGGGTGGGGTCACTCCTGCCTTGAAGTGGGCAGTGGTGCATCCACTCCTAAAGAAACCTACTCTGGACTCTGGAGAGTTGAATAACTACCATCCAGTCTCAAATGTACCATTCTAGAGCAAGGTGATTGAACAAGCAGTGGTTGGCCAACTTCAGACTCCTGAATGAAGCAGAAGGTTCAGATCCTTTCCAATCTGGTTTCAGGCCTGGTTACGAGACTGAAACGGCCTTGGTTGCCCTGGTAAATCACATGCACTGGTAGATGGACAGGGGAAGTGTGATCCTGTTAATTCTCCGGGACCTCTCGGTGGCTTTTGATACCATCAATCATGGTATCCTTCTGAATCACCTTTTGGGACTGAGAGCACTGCTCTGTGGTGGTTCCTGTCCTACACTGAGGGCAGGTTTTCAGAGTGTGGTGCTGGGGGACTGCTGCTCTGCCCCTTGGCCTACAGTGTTCCCCAAAGTTCCATCCTGTCCCCCATGCTTTTCAACATCTACATAAAGCTGCTGGGGGAGGTCATCTGGAGATTTGGGCTGAGCTGCTGCAAATATGCAGATGGCATTCAGCTCTACCTCACACTGCCAGCAGATCCCAGGAAGGCTCTGGAAACCTTGAACAGGTGCCTGGAGGCAGTTTTGGAACTGATGAAAGCTAACAAGCTGAGACTTAATCCTGATGAAATGGAGGTGTTTCTGGTGATGGGAAGATGAGACCTGGGAAACTGGTTATCCCTGTTCTGGATGGGGCTGCACTCCCCCTAAAGGAGCAGGTTCATAGCTTGGGGTGCTCCTGGACCCGGGTCTCGGTTGGATAAACAGGTGGCAGTGGTGACCAGAGGTGCCTTTTGGCAGCTTTGGCTGTGGAGCCAGTTGCAGCCCTGCCCAGGCAGAAAAGATCTTGCCACTGAGGTGCATGCTGTAGTAACATCTAGATTACTGCAATGGGGTCTATGTGGGGCTGCCCCTAAAGACTGTCCAGAAGCTACAGTTGGTACAGAATGCTGCAGCCAGAGTGCTGACTGTAGTGGATCATAGGGACCATATAACTCCAGGCCTGTTCATCTACATTGGCTTCCAGACTCAGTTTAAGTGCTGGTATTGACCTTTAAAGGACTGTACAACCTGGGACCAACATATCTTAAGGACCACCTTCTCCTACCTGCTCACTCCAGTCATCCTTGGAGGCCCTGCTTTGGTTACCATCTGAAGTTAGATGGGTGACAATCCAAGAAGGAGCCTTTTCCACTGTAGCATTAAAATACTGGAATTCCCTCTTCAGAGAGATACATCTGTCACTTTCTATTAGTGTCTTTGCCAGTTGGTGAAGCCCTTTTTGTTTCATCTGGCATACCACCAATAATGGTTATTAGCCCTCCTTTTAGTGTTTGTTTGTGTGTTTTTAATTGATTTTATCGTTTTAACTATATTTTAATTTTAATTGTTTTAATGTGTTCTTAGAGATCAAGATAGGTAGCCGTATTAGTCTGTCTGTAGCAGTAGAGAAGAGTAACAGTCCATTAGTGACTCATTAAAGCTCATACCCTATCACAAATTTTGTTAGTTTTTAAGGTGCTACTGGACTCTTACTCTTTTCTAATGTCTTCTTATGTTCACCACCTTTTGAATGCTGATTGGATGGGAAGGTAGCATCAAAATGTTTAAAATAAAATAACTACATAAATATACTGCGCGATCTGAGGGTATCTTCATTGAAACGCAGATCTTAGACTACAAGTTACCTTGTATGTGAAGTGAAGTGAAGGAGACAGTAAAAAGAACCTTGTAAGCCCAAGACCTACCTGAACTTCATAATCTGAATGAGACAGAGAAAGATAACAGGATTGTTGTGTCTGTGTTCAGACTGTAATTCACTATGCTGTTTAAAACACACTGGTCTCAATCTAGTAGTGCTACACACAGTTGCCTGGATTGAAAAGCCGCATCTAAAAGCTGGAACTGCATACAGGGCAAGAGGGAACCAGAAATGCCTCCTACTGCTTCTGTTCTCTGAACAGATGATAACTGATTCTTCCTGCAATCTGGTGTGCAGCCACCAAATCAAAGACCAGGCTGTTCAACCAAGGAAACAAGCATGAGTTCTATTTTCAAGTTTTCTTTAACGTATCTATTACAAATTAATCCTGCCCAGTCTTCGTTGAGCTCAAGGTACCACACATGTGTTTTCTCTTGCCAGCACATATGGCTCTCCTCTCCCTAATTTTATGCTCACAACCACCTGGTGAAGTAGCTTACAAAGAGTAATTAGCTCATATTCACGCAGATTGCCTTGTGGAAGAATGGGGATTTGATCTCTGGTGCCAGCCCAATGCTTGAATCCCTATACCATGCCAGCTTATGCCCCTAATTAGTTTAGAAAAACTTTTTGAAGTTTTTTCAGACCATGGAATGTCACAATTTGGGTATGTGCTGAATTCTTAAGACGATGGCTGCAACATGTACAGACTAACTGAGCTTGAAGAAACTTCAACAAGAAAACTTACCTGATAGGATCTCAAGTTTCCAATTGTTTTTAGCCTGAATTTCTTTATGTGACTTTAGTAAAGTCTGTGCATCTTCTGGAGTTTTAAGACGCACGTGACATTCATTATCTCCTTCCAACAGGTCAACATAAGCAACATCAGCTAATGTTGCTAATATGTCCTGTGACAAAGAAACCAAAGTAACCATTAACAGTGAGTTTATCAACTGTGTTACCTAGGAGAACATTTTAATGCCAAAAAGCACTATCACAACGCTGGTATCTGACAAAGGGAGTTTTGACTTTTCAAAGCCTGTACCTTGAAAATCCTGTTGGTCTCTAAGGTGCTACTGGTTTCGAATCTAGTTCTTCTACCACAGACCAACACAGCTACCCCTCCTTAAACCGTATTTACACCAAATATTACTTTTGTAACAATACTAGGGAAAAAATGGTTGTTCCCCAGAGTTACTGGGGAACCTCAGCACAGTAGCTATTCCAAGGCAGTACTTTTGCAAAAGAAAAAAGGTAAAGCATTCCACATGTAACTATAGATAAACACACTATGGGCCCATTGTAATTTTAATAATCTTCATTTTTTCCTTTCATGCCACATATTATTTTGCAGGCTTTTATTATTTGATTAGGAAATAAATCAAGCAAAGAATTTGAGACAAATGTAAATATGTATAGTCATTTAGTGTTCACACTACCTCTGAACATACAACCTATCTGCATGTGGACTCATTCTACAAGGAAGGAGAACAGGCACGAGCGCATTGGTCCTGCCCCCCACCTCTGCACAACTGTCAAGTTGCCCATACTGTACATACATGTGAAAGTGCCCATATGCACACCCCTTTCCCATGATTAGCAACATTTGGAAAACAGTGGTGCTGATAATGGGAAAGGAGCATCCATGCAGGCAGTTCCTCCACACATCCTCACCGTACAGACAACACAGTAATCATATGGTGGCAGGGTCAAGTGGCTCGTGCCTGCTCTACCTCTCCACATGGTGAATCAGCACATGGACTAGCAACATATTCTGATCACAGAAGGTTCCAGTGCAAATTGTGTGAGGAGCTCCATTACCTTCACTGAAGTTAACAGTTCAACAAGGAAACAAAAGAGCTATGGATGTGAACTACAGCAAATATGGTTAAGGAGACCGTTTCTGGTTCCCCAAGTGGGCATTTGAGTAGGTTTTTAAGTAATAATGTTTTTCTAATTTAACATCAAACAATTATCACTTGTACTGTTCTGTATATCAAACAACAGGAAAGTCAAAATAATTCTTCTGTTCCTCTGTCTCTCTTACAGTGTCACAAAAGGAGGGTAAAACCAATCTCTACCAGAAGTAGGAAGCATGTTTGTGCGCCCTCAAGTCACAACTGACTCATGGAGACCCCAAGGAGAGTCCTGCCAATACAAAAATGTGAATCCTCTAAAATAGCCCTTTTCTGTGACCAAACGCTTAACAACTTTTTATTGTTTCTTCACTTTGATTCTTCAATTGACTTTTGAAATCGGTATTCATACACAAAAGATTGCCAAGGAAAGGGTAACAATTCCCCTGAGGTTACAAAGACATTACCTTAATGTGTTTCCTGCCAGGCAGAGGCTCAGGACTAATGACCTTCACAATCACTCCACCTTCAAATTGGGGCCCCATTGTGTGAGCTTTCTCAGGATGGACTGAGGTAGCTGCTTAATTCAAAACAGAGATTATTAATGACTTGATGAACTACTGCTTCACTTACTATTACTTAGATCAGATTATTTTCAACACTAGTGGTTAGTAAACATATAACCCTGCTTGATATATATAGATTACAAGTGGTGGCAGGAACACCCCCCCAACATGAAAAGCGAAGAACCTGCAGGGATGAAGCTGAAATGTTTTTTAACACAGTTGGACTTTTAAAAAAAGTAATTGTTGCACTCACTGCCAGTGTTCCCTCTAAGCTGAGTTGGTGTGAGCTAGCTCACAGTTTTTTAGCTTCCAGCTCACGCATTGTTGTCTTAGCTCAGGAAAGAGGGCTCCAGAGCAAACTAATTTATTCAGTAGCCAAATTGCTTGCTCACAACTTTAATGCCAGTAGCTCACAAAGTAGAATTTTTGCTCACAAGACTCCACAGTTTAGAGGGAACATTGCTCACTGCACAACACGTTATTAAAAATTATAAGAACACCAACAACAGCCTTAATTTCTCATGGAAGCATATTCCCAAACACAGCAGTCAGGAGCAGCAGTAGCTTCAACGGCTACAGAGGTGGTAGAGGAACATTTTTATGAACAAAAGTGCTTGCATACCATAAAGACACGGGAATTCTACTATGTGCACAATCATTACTGCGCTCTACTGTTTTCAGTATTAACTCTTGCAACTAGCTCATATAGATTTCTTCAGGTGAACTGGTCAGTTAATGGGTATAAGGTAGGAACAACTATTATGGCAGATGGTTTATGGATATATTAAGTGCTCCTGAATATCATATACATATTAAATGTTTATATCTCAGGAGTTCCCCTATATAGTGCACCGTTTTATTATAGCAATTTTTTTTTGCTTTATTTGACGTCTTCATGGAGGAAACTCTCAATTTTCAAATGTTATTTAAGCCCCTAGCTCTTCCTGTGTCCATCTGCATGTTACCCCTTAGAGCCACCAAACACAACATACAAAGAACCTTAGAATAGTCTTTACATTTGCCATTTCTTGTTTCAGTCTTGACTGGTTTACAGGCATCGGTTTCCATTTCCCCAACAGTCATTGTTTTTATTTGGGCCATCGCTTTTTTCAAAGAAGACATGCTGGTTTTCTGTAGAGCCAAGTACTCTTGCTTCAGCTGCATCCATTCTCTCCTGTAGAGAACAGGGATCAGGCTCATCAGCATAACCCAGACATATCAACACTCCACAACTATAGCCCATTAAAATAATCCAAGACAAGTTAATCTATATAAAAGACGCAAGAGGTAGAGCAGCACTACATCTTCCCTTCTGTGTTTAGGTCCAACCAAAGTGACCTTTAGTTTTAGTCATCATTAGTCTGGGATGGCTGTTGCCATGCTACTTTTGAATAAAATGTGATTCAAAGTAACAAATCTCCTTCATCAGATCTAGCTCTTCTGGTGTACAAGTATATATATTTTTAAGATTCCATAGAACTCTTCATCACTCTTCATTTATTTGTTCAGGGCTCTTGTATCTGAAATGCTGGCATAAGAAATAAACTTATGTTTTATAGAACCTGTTTTATAGCTCATATGATTGGAAAGAAACACCCATAAAGCAAACACAAAGTCTTATTGTATTCTAGAACATGTATAAATAAATGAAAATGGAATTGTCTGTTAACATTCAAGCACTGTTACTATAAACTAGGGTAGGGTTAGCTTAGGACCCTTGTGGTCTACCGATGGAACACTGGCCAAGCTTCATTGAGAACCTACTGATTGCTAGAATGCTTGCAAAGAACACTGGACCAGATTGAGCTTGACCTGATCCAGCAAAGTGCATATTATGTGATTCACGAAGTGTGTACCGTATATCCAGAATCACTACTTAAAAACCAAGTACAAACCACCAAACTATTAATAGATGTTGAACATACACTCTTGTAAATTTAATATTCCCTGGTTAGATGCACAAGTTCTAATTTTAAAAAGGCAGATCATGCAGACAGTAAGCACTACACTTGGTAAAATAAAAAAAAGAAATGTCTGTGGAACCAATTACTCCCCAAAAACTACAGAGACAAAAACACACCTCCCTGTTCAAAACACAGCATGGAAGAAAATTATCTATTCACATTAATCTCATATGACGATGGTTCTGCAAACAGCTAGAGATTTTTCTGACATACAAACAATGGAGCCTGTGTAATTGTGAGAATGAGTCCTTGTTCACCTCATCTCAGCTATTAAACACCCTGATACAGGATTAAAAAAAGAGAGAAAGATCACCTCTTGGATAGTAGTTTTAACTGCTGATATCAACAACTGTATACCTCGAAAAGAAAGATTCCATTCCACCCAGGAACCTGTATTTTGACTAAAGACTTTTAAATAACAAAAGGGCTACCTAATGACTCTGAGATAAAAAGCCAATGTTACTTTTCAGTAAGGTAGGATATAAATAGGAGCTTGAAAGGGCAGTTAGTAAAAGGAAGCTGAAAAGAAGAGCACTATGGAGAATGATCAAGGCAAGTAGGCAAAATGTAAATGTTTTCTCAGCTATTTTTGTGTTTCTATGAAAAGAAAGTTTCTTCGGCTAGATTTGTTACTTTGGGTATGGATATGCTAAATACACTAGCATCACATAGTGAAAAAATGTTTTGAGTCCAGTGGCACCTTTGACTAACGAAGTTTTATTCAAGGTTGGTACCACTGCAGTCAAACTTTGTTCTGCTGCTTCAGAACAGCACAGCTTCCCACCTGAAAAAATGTTCTGTGTGGACCTCTTCTCCTTTAACATGGAGGCGCTTTCTATGCGCACCAAAAAGGTAACCAATTCTATGTTTCAGCAGAAGTGACTCCTGAACTCAGTCTTATCGCCATATAAAATATTAAAGCTTTGTTTGGAACTTAGATGTGTCTGTACTAGACATCTTAGAAATACCCACAGCAAAAAGAATGTTAACCTTATTGCAACATTTGTTATATTCTGAGCAGTGGGCAACCCAGATGTTCTCAAACTCCAGAACGTAAATCTTATTTTAATGGGACTAATTTCCAAGGGCACTTAAGACTGTAAACATTTAATCAACCGTACAACATTTTTAACAAACTTTTCTATATTTGTGTTATCAGGAGTTGCTTAATCAAAAGGTCAAAACATTGGGCAATAATTCTATAGTAAGAAAAAAATATTTAGGGAAAATGCTATGTAACTTATTAAAAATCAAACTGTTGTTTTTCACAGCAAAAAAGAATGTGTCATCTCTTGATAAAGGACCACCCACTACTTTAATATGGAAGTACTTGTTTTGTTCTTTTTAAAAAGTGCTTGCATGTTTTAGTGATGGCAAATCCTAATTAAATCGTCTAAACATGAGAAGATCTACAGATGGAAGAGATTCAGGAAACTTAGCTATGTTTGTCGCATGTAGAATCCTTCAAACATGATCTAATGTTCAACATCAGTCTGAAGAGGTCTTTCCCATTTTAACATGAAAGTACATGCTGGCCATTTGAAGGCCAAAAAGTTCTAAAATTTTTGTTGTTATGGATGGGCACTGAAGTGAAATTAAATCTTAAGATAAATTGGTTGGCTGAAATAAAACTGCATGGGCTTAATAGAGTAAAATAAAATACTAATTTTTTTCACTTCACAAGAAAAGCAGGATTTATGCAGCGGATATGTACTTTTGCTATTATCCTTTACTGTTGCTAATATGCAACTCTGTGGCATAAAATCTGGAATTGCACTTTAGCAATGGTGATGGATTATAAGCTATGCAAAAAGTTACCATTTGGACAAACATTTGACATATAAGAAAAAGTATTTCCCCTCTATTTTCAGTATTACTGCTTATGACATACTTGGGGATACATGCATGCATGGGATCTTTACTCAAGAGTTGATGAAGTGTGACAAGAAGTGTTTCAAGTTTGATTATTTTCCTCTTTGTTCATTTTGATATAGTTACTGTTTACAGAAATTTTCACACAGTATGAATAAAATGTGATTAAATTATCATAAAACTGGCATAAAAATCTGTAACACAAAGTCCATGATATTGTCAAAGCTTAGCATTTTGACATCCCATTGATTTCAATGGGAAAATTTTAAGCTTAAAAGTAGATGGCAACAAAGAAAACTGTGGCTCAGAATCCACAAAGCATTTATCTATTACTATCCATGTTCCCTATTAAAGATGAAAAACTCTAAAACAGTGGAAACCACTGGGCTACAACATGAAAGGATCAACTCTCCATGAACATTTAAGGGGTTTTATGTACATATGCTTTAAAATGCATGCATAGCAGGGCATGACTCTGGATAGCTAACCTTTGGTTTGCATTCACCTCTCATTCATCACTGATTTCCCTTTCCTTCCCACCACAGCTAATAATTAGACTGAGAGATATATATATTGATTGAGCTCTATAAATAACAACCATCACGTCCTACAGTTTGCAAATGTATTCCTGTTGCTTAATAAAGAACAGAGCTACTTTCATTCACCTCTCATTCATCACTGATTTCCCTTTCCTTTCCACCACAGCTAATAATTAGACTGAGAGGTATATATATTGATTGAGCTGTATAAATAACAACCATCACCGTCCTACAGTTTGCAAATGTATTTCTGTTGCTTAATAAAGAACAGAGCTACTTTGTGCAAAGAGGTACTTACAATTTCTTTCCTTCTCCTATCCTATATAAACCCCAACGAGGGGGTGGGGGGGTGGAGGGTAGGAATGATGCTCCTTCAGACTACAAATGCTAGACTATCAAACTTGTCTTCATTCTGCCTTCATCCTGCCATAAAAAGGCTAATGCAGAAGTAAATATACCACTGTAACATAAGTCAGTAAGCTTATTAACAGTTGCAATTTTTGCAGTAAACAACATTTCCATGTCCCCTCAGCACAATGCTATCAGCTAAGAAACAGCAATGTTTATAGGGAAGAGAATAAGATTGCTTTTTGATCGTTGTCAGTGTAGTGATTAGTGTGTCGCACTAGGATCTAGGAGGCCTTGTTTCCTATCTCTGCTCTGCCACAGAAACTCACTGGGTGACTTTGGACCAGTCACCCTCTCAGCCTAACCTACCTCACAGGGTTGTTGTTGAGAGGATAAAATGGAGGGAAGAATGGTATTTTTTCTCCTTTATGGGAAATCAAAGGGGCTTACAAGTGGGTAAACCAATAAATTGAAAGTGCTTCCAATTAGTGCTGTAGGCAAATGAGTTGTTAAAAATACAGCCTGCACTAGCAATCATGTTGAAGACAAGGAGACAGGAGCAACACATGCTATACTCCTGACGTGTCAAGTTCAGATATTGTAAACTGAGGACCCCATCAGGACCTGTACTCCAGAAACACACAGTGGGAACTCTCCTGCCTGCACTAACAGCAAAAGGCTCCTAAACGCATCAAAACATTCAAAATTCCTGCTCACATAACCCTAAACTGCAGCAGTCATGCACTGGCACAATTGTCCTGTAAAGCTGAGTGCTCTGAGAGCATCCCACTTCCTGAATCCAAGTGGATACAACAAACAGCGAGTGCTGCTCAGGGTGGGAAAGGCACACTTCATGTCCTCCGGGATAAGGGCCTGTTAAGGGTCAATCTTTCCCCTTTTCTTTCCACGAGACAGCTGGGCTTAAAAATAAAATAGGTGGGTAAGCAGTGTTGGTCTGAAGTAGCAGAACAAAGTTTGAGTCCAGTGGCACCTTTAAGACCAACAAAGTTTTATTCAAAATATTTTACAGTGGTGTCCGGAAAATGTACTTCTTGCATAGACTGGTTCATTGCCAGGTTGATAGTGAGATAAAAGTTGAATACCTGGTGGAATATGTCCAGGGCTTCTTTAACATGTGTCCAGACAATAAAATAAGATGTCATCAATGGATCACAGGTGTAATAGAGATGCGAGTGGGAGTTTAGGAAGTGTTGTTCCAAGTTGGCCATAAAGATGTTAGCATACTGAGGGGTCATGCAGGTGCCCATGGCTGTACGGTACCCCACCATCAACCTGACAATGAATCAATCTATCCAAGAAATACATTTTCTGGACACTACGTAAAATACCTTAAATAAAACTTTGTTGGTCTTAAAGGTACCACTGGACTCAAACTTTGTTCATAAAATAATTAGATTAGTACTTAGGAAGCCGGGGACTATGGATTTCCTAAATTTGGGGGTGGGGGAAGTTTTGATCTTGGTTTGCTACTCTAATAATAAGGCCCTAAAATGTAGCCTGCAACATCCCCCCCTTTAACATTCAGCCTGATGTAAGAATTCTAGAGAATGCAAAAGCTTGCACACTATTTTGTGTCATTTTGGTTGGTGTTAATCAACAACATCTTGAGACTTAAGAGTCTTTGTAGTTTTCTTTTATTTCTATCTACCAATAAGCACTAAGCCAACAAAACTGCTATTAGAGTGACCTTCATCATATGATCATAAAGATATGGGGATATCAAAGATATCTGCCAGAATTCTGCAGATACTTCCCCTCATAGACAATGGACTCAAATCTGGAAAGTAGTACAGGTTTGTTATCTCAAAATACCAGCTACCTGGTCAAGCAGGTCAAGCAAACAGATAGCCATGGACAATGATAGATCTACACAGTATAATATTTTACTGTTAGACACAGAGAGCTCACGGTGAACACCACATGCCTTAAATTCAACATACTTTGAAAGCACTCTCAGTGGAATGACCTCTTCTCCCATCTTGTGTCTCTCTTTATGCTTTTTCTTATGCTTCCTTTTGGATTTTGAAAGAGATGTGTCTTTCTTACCTCCAATCTCTCTCTCTTCTTCAGTGGACAGTTCTAAATAGAAAAGCAAAATGAAACTGAAAACATAACGGAAGACATAAAACTCTCCTTAGTTTTTAGAACTGTCTATGGACTGCTTAAATACAAGTTGGAAACTAAGGAACATGCATTCAGTACTCACATGCATTACTGGTTTTAGATTTGGAGATTCAGATTTGCTGAAGGGATGGAAGCTACACAACCCCCCCCACACACACACAGTGCTAAATTACTCCAGTCTAAGCCCACTGTTTGCATTGGACTTAGTGTGGAATGATTCTGCATAGGATTGCACTGTGAAATCACCCTGGGATCTTTGTTATGAATATTTTCATTTACCACAAAACTTGACAATCCCTTATTTACATATTGTCTGTGATCTTGAAACATCTTTCAAGGAGGAAAAAATGTGAAAAAATTGTTTCTTAGTTTGAATCCAGCATTTCCAGCTAACTCAATACACTTTTATGCCACTGTCCTCTCCCATTTCTTTAAACATCGTCCTCAGTATTTCAAGAATAACATTACAATCTCTTATTGTATATCAGAAACTCAGTTGAATAAGAAGAGGAACAACCCAGTCTTACCCTTGGAATCCTCTGGTCCTTCTGTAGATCCCTCTCGTGCAGAATGAACATTATCTTTCGGAGTACTTTTCTTTACCTTTCCAAAGGACATCTCTACATCCCCAGAGTGTCTGCGCTTCCTCTTCCCTGGCCTACTTTCTCCAGACCCTGAGCTTTCTGTTCTATCCGTTCTCTTTTTGTCTCTCTTTGAAGACTGCCACTGGGCCTCTGATGCTTCCATTTCAGAGCTTTCTGATGTTGTTCTATGTCTCTTCGATCTGCTTGCCTGCTCTGTAGTAGTATCCATACTTGAGTCTCTGGTGTCCACATTTGCTTGCTGGCTATTTTCCTTCTTTGTTTTGGATTTCTTCTTCTTCTTTTTTTTCTTTTCTTCTGCATTAATTAAAGAATGTATCTCATTTACACTTATACTCCAAAACACAATTAACTGAACTGGGTTAACTCCAGAAGATAGCATATACTTAAATTAGTAAATATCGATAGACCACAGTGTAATATTGCTATTTACTCAGCACAGGACTGTACATTTCTTGTAAAATCTACAGGAGCTCCCCAAAGATGTAAAGAAAATAAGATACGTCTCATGAAAAATTGACATTATGATCCTAAAGAGAAATCTGTAGTAATGTAAAGACCTACTTCATGCACCTGAAATAGGTTTTGGTCCATGGAAACACATCACAATAAATGTATTTTTATAGTACCATAAGATTCTTATGCTGCAACAGACTACATGCGTGCCCCTCTGGAATTTTCCACTGTAGCCCTAGTTGCTTTAAAGATTGCCATGTCCATGATCCACAAATATTTCAAATTAGCAAGGGTTTAAACTCTGGCTTCAATAGGAAAGCTTTAAAGCAAATACTGATGGTTATAGTACTTTGCATATCACTTCGCATCACCTGACTACAGAGCAGCAGAACGAGAGATTTAAAAGGGCAAACAGATGGTTAATTCTTCTTCTATCCCCAAGTTCTTCTGAAGTCCTACACGGGCACTTAATTTACAATGTATGCATCATCTGTTATGCCTGGTATTTAAAAAGTATGGTCAATATCTACAGGAAATTCCACATACCTGGGATGCAGAACAAACTAGCACTTCTAATACTGGCTAAACAGAATGCATGGGAATAATCAGAAGATGGAATGGAGAATGATAAACTACCACCTTACTTACCAACAACACTAGAGTCACTTGTAGTCATTGCAGGAACAGGCTTGTTTTTAACTGTTTTGGGGAATATCCCAGGTTTTCTTGGTGCATCTTCAGGTGGGTTATTCAAGAACTTAAATGAAGAAATCAAACAGTTTAAATGACCATCCACTAGTTAACATCACAAAGATTCAAGGGCAGGATACCTTGAATAAAACTCTCCATTTTATCTCATATCTAGAATTTAATACATGGAGAACAGTACCTGGAGTGTTCTTTTTGCTGACCAGTAGATCACAATGAGGCACAGAGCTATCTTCAAGATGCTTTGATCTGTGTTTTATTTAAATATGCAAACATTGGCACAGACACAACTGTCCTATAGTTATTGGAGCAAGATGTAAACTGAACGATGTGCTTGCTATGTACAGACTTTAAATATTCACATTCTGTACTTAACAAGTTTTTCACTTAGAATAATTCTGCAAATTTAGTTTGCTGGCAAATTGCAGGTTTTCAAAAGAGACTGTACAACACTTCTAGAAGTCACTGGGAGTTACTCATGAGTAAACATGCGATGTGTCAGGCTGCCATTTTCTTTCAGCAAGGACTATGGCATGAGGCTCTGAATAAAACCCCACCCTCATTATCCTCAACTCAATTTAAAGTTTTCAGTAGACACTGCCTGCATAGTTTCAATCTACCACTATGAAAGTTCCAGCAGACAGATTTTGCGTTTCCATATTCTATAAACCATACTTTAGTCAAACTGAATTACAAATCATTTGAAACAGAAGAAACCCCGGGGAAAAAACGGTTTTTTTCCCGAGCTTCAAAATTTCTGGAAATTTTACATCTCTACACTGGGCTAGTCACATTCTCTCAGCCTAACCAACCTCACAGGGCTGTTGTGTGAAAAAAATAGAGGAAGGGAGAACAGTGTTCTAAACTACTTTGTGTCTCCATTGGAGAAAACAGAGGGATATAAATAAATGCAAATAAACACAAAGATGTAAAGCTAAATAGTGCGCAAAATCCAGCCCTTTGAATTGTCCACAGCTTACCTCAATTGCCTTTTCTGCTTGTTCTTTTGTTTCAAACTCAACGAATGCAAATCCCTTTGGGTCTCTGGTAGTCTTATAACGAGGAATGCTGATATAAACTACATTGCCACATTTCCCAAATACCCGTTCAATCCAACTGTGATTGACATTTTTAGGAAGCAATTCCTAAAACAAAATAAATGAATGATTTTTTTTTAAATCCCAACACAAAAAAGAAACATACAACCACCAAATAATGGAAACACAAGTTATAGGATTATTGAATTCATTTCTAAGTCACTATATTGACTGTATCTCTCAGTGAGTGATTAATCTATTCTGGTACACTAGGTCAGGACATAGCCCTTATTTATAAATCAACCATCCTTTAACCTTCTTCGTTTTACACCATATAACTGCTATACAGCATTTCAACTTTACCATGTACAGTTATTGGGGTTTGTCCATGCTTCATATCCCACATTTCGCTCATCCCACATGAATGATCTGCAGCACAACAGCCCTGAAAACTATAGATCAGGTATGTCCGACAGGTAGATCGCGATCTACCAGTAGATCGCGGAGGGGTCAGAGGTAGATCACCAGCCCCACTTGGTCTCCTGGTATAAAATAAAATAAAAAATGTTTGCAGTTCTTTCTAGATCTTCGTCTCCCTGTTTTGTTTTTGCTTACCATTAAAGGACAGAAGGTGTATATTATAAGGGGGGGGGGCACGGTGGAACCCAACTTTAGTGGGCTAAAATCTAATTTGAAACTTTATTTTCATGGTGGTAGATCACCGGCACTTTTGGCCGGAAAAAACAGATCACTACCTGTTCAAAGTTGGACATGCCTGCTATAGATACATAAGACTATATAAATACATAAGTGAGGTGCAACACTTTCCAAGAAAAAAATATAGCATCAGAAATTTCTTTCAGCAGAAACTTTTCTGCCCTGCATCACAGCTTTGATAAAAAGGCAATTAAATTAATACAGCATAGTTTTATTAGCTTTATCAATAGACAGCATTCTGTAATAGTTTACACACTATCTGAATCCTACTGCTGTCCTCTAGCAACGAAATACATGGGCCATGTTCCAGCTCATGAGCTCATTTTTGCTTGCATGCCATTTGCTACATTTCTTTTAGCAGAAACCAAACCCACCTACTTCAGAACTTCACCTCAGTTGGTGTTCGCTAACTGCATAAGATGTATTAGGAAGATTATGGGACTGGGTGCAACAGTAAAAGTTGTATTAGGAGAACACAAATAATCAAACACACTCAGAGAACAGCTTATCTCTGTTTATGAACTCTAATGGTTTGTTACTAGTATGACACTCAGAACAGGAGTTGTAAATACCTTGAACAAAAATTGATAGATAAATTCTTGTAAGCCCCAATGACAGGCAACAACACTGATCATTTCAATGCAATGAGTCAGGATATACTGAAAAAACAGCTTGCAAAGTTTCTTACACAACAGTATATCCTTCATGGCTGTGTATCAAAGGCTTTTAGCTAACATAATTGATTTGCATAGTTTTATATTTGTATATACTGTGCAGCAAAGGAAAACAGAACACACATTCACTTCTTATGGATGTTAATAAGAGCTTGAATTTGCTAGGCTGTAAAAAATACAGCTACTATTTTGTTACCAACAGTTTTGAGACAGGCACTAGATAACTGATTGATAATATTAAAACACAACATGATTTAGTTTCAAAAAAATGCTGCTCTTGTATTAAGTAAACAGACTAGCAGTGACTAGCAACCTAACAACCACAGAATATACCAAGTTTTGTTTGGAATAGTAGTCCTTTTCTTTCAGGAAATACATTCAAGTGACGCTGGGCATACAACAAATAGATGTATCCTGTGTCAAATTTGTATTAAATTTGGAAAGAAATCCCACAATTTTCAGTGAAACTTGCTTCAAACCCTAAAATATAAATCACACTTCGTTTTCCAGCAATCTATTGTATGTGATAGAGCCCCCCCTGGTAGAACAGCTAGACTTAAGTCCAGGAGCTCCTTAGACACCAACAAGCTTTTCAGGGTATGAACTTCCAAGAGTCAAAGCTCCCTTCCTCAGACTCTGGAAAGCTCATTCCCTGAAAATCTTGTTGATCTCTAAGGTGCTACTGGACTCCCATCTAGCTGTTCTACTACAGAGCAACATGGTAACCCCTCTGAAACTTTTCCCATGCAGGAAGCAGATACATTTTCTGCCTCTGCAGAAATGAATTGGGCAAAAACGCGTGCTCTGTAACGGCCAATTGACATATACCAGAATCTTTTAATAAGATGACTGACCTTCAAGGTTGCAATACTCTCAAAACGTGCAAAATTCCAAGTTTAACAAAGACTAGTCATTCAGAATTCTTTAGTGATATCTTACCACATATACTGTACGGCTATCCACATCTTTAGGTTGCTCACCCAGTGGTTGCCTTCGTCTGATCCTAGTTCCTTCTAAATCCAGCTGTAAGTCAAAATCCAATTAGACAAGCATTTTTTACAGTATTCATAGAATCATAGAGTTCAGTACTGTCTAGCCTGCAATTTAACATCCTCTTCCCCAGCCCTGTTCTCTGTGCCTTCTCTTGCACAGGTGAGGAAGGTGGTGACCAGGGGTCTTTTGGGGCCAGGACCTCACAAAATGGCGGCGGCTGCAAGCCCCTCTCCCAGCTCCCCGTGTTGCGGCCCGTCACCGTCTTCCCAGGGCCCGCGCCGGAGCCCTGCGGCCCCGGGGAGGCTGGAGGAGGCCTGTTGCTGCCTTTCCGGGGCCTGCGCCGGAGCGCTGCAGGCCCAGGGAGGCCTGTCGCTGTCTTCCCGGGGCCCACGCCGGAGCGCTGCAGCCCCAGAGAGGCCCGTTGCTGTGTTCCTGGGACCCGCGCCAGAGCACTGCGGACCCAGGGAGGCTCAAGGAAGCCCGTCGCCATCTTCCTGGGGCCCGCGCAGAGCGCTGTGGCCCCAGGGAGGGTCGTCGCGCCTTCCCGGGGCCTGCGCCCGGAGCGCTGCGGCCCCAGGGAGACTGGAGGACGCCCGTCGCCACCTCCCTGGGCCAGCGCCGGAGTGCTGCGGACCGGAGGAGACCAGAGGATACCCGTCGCCACCTCCCTGGGCCAGCGTCAGAGTGCTGCGGCCCGGAGGAGGTCGGAGGATGCCTGTTGCTGCTTCCCTGGGCCAGCGCCGGAGCACTGCGGCCCGGGGGAGACCAGAAGAGGGGCCCCGGCCGCCTCCCCGGGTCAGCGCTGGAGCAGGGTGAGGGATCCGCGGGGTGTGTGTGTGTGTGGCAGAGGCTTGAGTGGGGTGGGTGGGAGAGCCTCCCCCCCTCTCTTTGCCCTCTTTCTTTACCTCCTTTCCTTCCCCTTCCTTTTCTTTCCCTCCTTCTTCCCTTCTCGCTCTTTCGTCCCCTCCTTTTCCTCCTTCTTCACTTCTCTCGCTTTCTTTCCCTCCTTCTTTCCTTCTCTCCTTCTCTTTCTTTCCCTCTTTCCTTCTCTCTACTCTCTCTCTTTCCTTCCTTCTTTCCTCCTTCTGCGGCCCAACTCTAGTGAGAAGGGGTTTAAACGTCTCCCTTCGCTTCCCCTCCCCCCCCCCCGGAAGGGAAGGGGAGGCTTTTGAAGATGCCTCCACCACCTTTTGCTTCCCCTTCTGACATCTCTTTCGGTGATGTTGGGGCGTTGCATATGCTAATGAGCTATTATGCTAATAGCCTAGTAGCTCATTAGCATACTGTATGCTAATGAGCTCCTGCAGCTCTTTTTCTACGAAAAGACCCCTGGTGGTGACCAAAGATAGGGCTTTCTGACTGGTGATACTTCCCCCTTAAAACTCACTCAGTACCAACTATACTGCTATTTAGGGGTAAGTGGATACATTTCCTTTTCTGCAGGCATTTGCCTGAGGGGTTCTATCTTTTTAGCTGTTTGATGGTCTGCTTCTAGTCTCAAGATGATATATGAATTTCATTTTAAGCTGCTGAATGGTGTATTATACTGGTTTTATGTCCTGGGCTTGTTTTTACTTTTTTGTTCTATTACTCTTACTTTGTTAGCCATTTTAAACAAGTCTCCAAGGATGGTTTCTAAATAAAACAGTTTCCCTCATTCACACATAGGGAAAAATACAGGATTTATCCTCACCTCTACAATGGATGAGTTTTTAACTGCACGTGCTATCAATTTTCTGTCAGTGGTTAATTTTTTCATTTTGTTAAAAGAAACTAGAAGTGATATGTCAACATCTACAAAGGAAACAAAAGCTGGAATTAAAGGAGAACCTGACAACTGACAGCATAGTCAACAAAAATATTCCTGTATGTATTTCACAGACACTGTTATTTAAATTGATGTACTCCGTATTTTGCTATTAACAAAGAAATCAATTTACTTAACAAAAAAAGCAAACATTAAACAGCAATCTCAACAAAAACGTAAACACCAGGTAGATAATCCCAAAATCCACACATACATACCCAACATATGTAGAAATAAAACAAGAATTCTCTCCCCTAGTTTACAGTGCAATCCTAAACAAGTTTATTCAGAAGTAAGCCCCACTGAATACAAGAGGACTTAATCCATAGTTAAGTGTGCATATGACTGAAGACTCAGTAAAGTAAAAACTTACACCCATCTCTAGACTTTTCTATTTGTTCTCGAAGAAACCTGTCCTTGTGGAGATTGACATCACCAAACCAGAAGTCCACTTGCTTTGCTATATCTGAAAGCACCTGTTTAACTCTGGACCTTTTCTTTTTGTCACGTTCCTTTTGCTGTTCAGTGGTTTCTTTCTCCGTGGCTTTGCTTCTTATAGTGTCAGTCTCCATTCCTGTAACCGTCATCTGAAATGTAATGTTACATTATGATTTTTAGCCCCAGGAAAGCATGAAGTGATCTTCTGAACCTTTATAACACTCATATTTTAAAGGACATTAATTTGCAAAGTATTCTAGAACCCTGAAATTGCTTTCCTTTCCTCACTGTGTGAAGTAGGCAAGTGTATGCCTCTTTACTGATGATGAACTGAAATTGAGAGATAATGCATGGCCTTGGGCAAACTGCTACATCTATATATTAAGGCAGGGGTGTCAAACATGCGGCCTGGGGGCTGGATCAGGCCCCTGGAGGGCTTCTGTCAGGCCCACAGTGGAACTGGCTGTCTTCTGCTTCTTCTTCCAGTCCTCCTGCTGCTGTGTCATTGTAGGCTTGCAGCTTACAGATACACACCTGAACAGCATACTCAAGATTGCAACAGCACAGACATTTTGATGTAATAATTCAGAGCAAGAGGTGTCAGTTATTAGACACTTACATAAACAAAATATTGCAAGAGTGCTAATGTTTTAAGTATGTTTTTATTTTAAGCAGAAAAAACCCTTTGTGTTTGTGTCCTTAATAAAGTTTACATCTCTGCTACCTGGCAGTACATTTTATGACGCACATGGCCCGGCCCAACAAGGTCTCATTTATGTCAGATCTGGCCCTCATAACAAATTAGCTCGACACCCCTGTATTAAGGGATTACATTTCTTACTCAAGAATCCTTAAAACCCTGTTTTAGAAAAGCTTTAATTTCTGTAATGGAAAGGCAATACATGCAGGCAATAATAGCCCAGTAACATAATGTTGGATCCAACAAGCATTTCTACTGGTGCAAAAAGAATTCCCCCTCTAACGACCAAGAAAAAGCTATGTTGAGGACCATGAATCTGCATGGACAAAGGCCACCTGGTATAGGAGCTTTAGTAAGAAAGGGAACTGAGTGAGACTGAGTTTAAAAAAAAAAAAAGGAAGGTGGGTTGGTGCACTGAGTTAGTGCCAGCAGTGCAGGTGCAAATAGTCTGATCAAATTGTAATAGAACTACAAGGCTGCCTTCTTCTGACAATTTTAGACGATTTTTAAATGTTCATGGTTTGCACCAGTTATACATCTAACTCTTCTGCAGGAGCTAATGGGTTCCACTGATATCATGTATGTGAGTCAATTATACACTTTGCATATGCATGATTAGAGACTTTAGGCTTCCATTTCTTTTAATTTAACAAGATTTCAGATTAGGAGTTTGGTTTTGCCTGCATGTATGCACTATTTAAGCCAAGTTAGAAATTAAACAGAAGAAGTGAAAATGAGATTAAATTACACTCAGGCATTACAAAAGAAGTGTGATTGTTCCATTAACACTGCAATTACTTGTCCTAAGAGAGAAGTATATGCCTGAAATATTTAAAGAAGTACATTAACTGTAGCTTCAATCCTAAAAATGTTTACTATGAAGTGCCACTGAAATCAACATCTATTCCAGATCTATACATCTGAATGCACCAAAACCAGAAAAATCTTTTCCAAGCAGGGGACGGTTTATGGCTGGGTTCCCCACCATGGCGCCCATGTGGACCCCTTTCCTGGGCCCACAAAGCGTTTTTAGAAAATGGGTGGGGCCAAATGGGACTTTTGCCCAGTTGGGCTTCTGATTAGCCCCTGAAGATCTGATTGTACAGTTTTTAAGAAGTGTGCTTCAGCAGCAGCTGCCACCACAGCACAAAGATCTTCACTGTATGACTGAAGATAAGCTGTGTGTACGAATGAAAATATTTTGAAGTAAGTTAATTTTAAAAAGCACCCTGCTAAACAGGGTTTCTGCCTGAATGTTGAAAAATGTATTATTAGAGTTATGCATGACCTCACTCCCTGAGATTTTGGGGCTGGCTCTGCCTCTTGTGACAGCCATTTTTTTGGTTGTGGCCACCATCCATTGTCAAAATTCCAGAGGTACCCACAAGCTCAAAAAGGTTTGGGTCTCCTGCTTTATGGAATTTCCCAAAATAACTAGAGTTGTGAGGAGGTGCTAAGAGCCCTCCATCCAAGCAACTGCCACTCTAACAACAGAGACAGAACCACAACTTGATCTTTCATCCCAGGCTTTCAGGACATTACAGAGCTCTTTGCCTGTGAAAGCTAAAATATTCATTAATATTGGGGTGGGGAAGAGAAAAAGGAAGTATCTTCTGCTTGTTTTATTATCAGCCCTTGAGTGATGAGAAAAAGCTGCACAGAACACCAAAGAAACAAAAGGATTCTGTCAAGAAAATTTGAGAATGAAAAATGCAGTAATCTGGTTTTTCTGAATATTTGCTAGAAAATATGTCAGTGCAATAAATAGACAGTGATTTGATTTAGAATATTTATTTTGATCTATATTTAGTAAACATAATTGAAAGGTTGAACAATGCTAACTCTGTTCCAAATACTTGAACTGAAATGTTTGATTAGGAAACAAGTGTGGTTTCATCCACTACCATAGAATGCCATAAAGCTAAAATTATATATAAACAAACAATGTCAAGAATTTCTTGCACATTTATTTTTATTTCATACCACAAAACATCCTTATGCAAAATGACACATAAATTTTGGGTTGGGTCCAGCCAGCATTCCCTGGCTTTTGTCCATGCATGTTCCATGATCCCCAACTTAGTGTTTTGGTGGTCAAAGGGGAACTTGGGTGAAGTGACACCTAAGATACCCTGTCCTGAACACAGGAGTTTTAGCTGTGGGGTAAGCATCATCAAAAGAAAGTGAGATGGCCAAATTACAGGCTGGTGCTTCCCTTTGTAAGAGCCGATGAATCAGGCTGATGGGTCTGTACAGCCAGACAATTTACCATCAATTGCTATCCGTCAGTAACTTCAGGCCTACCTACAACACTTAAGTTTATTTGCCTCTACTGTGCTATAGCAAGAAGACTGAAGCCTTGGGGGAAGAGCATAAATACTGCAAGTCCAGGTAAAAGACAATCACCTGCAGCAGTTACGAAGTGAGATTGGATGAAAGAGCTTGGGAACATCCACAATGATCTAATAGGAGGTAGAGGATTTGGTTGCAACTCCAAAATAATGCTGTGTTACAGAAGGACGTTTTATTAAGCCACTTGGGGAAAACATTTTGATTCAAAGGCATGGTAGCAATAACTGACGGAGCACCAACTTTGTAGGAGATCACAGGAACAACCATTCTCTGTCTGAGCAAACAGAGCTAGACCAGCTCAACCAATGGCCTCTTGGTACAAAGCAGCTTTATACATGGACATTTCAAAAAATTAAACAAAATAAAAGTCTACAGAACTTACACGCTTCTTGAATTAATCTATCTACTTAAATAAAAATGAAGGCTCTGAAGATTTCATAAGTCCACATTTTTAAACCAAAAAGTATAACAAATAGTCTGTGAGCCAGAGTAGATGTTGGTATCAGGCAAGGTAACATTTGTTTTTCTGAAATGTGTATTTCTGTGTATTATGTTTTGATGTGGTAAACCAATTCTGATTGGTAGCTTAAGCCTTTTATGATATCAAGACAGCCAAAGCCAATTTTTCCTGCCTTTTCTCATTTGAGCTATAACTCATGAACAATTTAAAACATTGTTGGAAAGCTACTCTTCTCCTACATATAACTATTAATGCTTCCATCCATTACCGTTTTTGTGACATAAGGCATAAATTAAAGTAAGTCAGTTTTTACCATGTTTTTATAAGATTTATAGAATATGGTGCGTTACCCAGCCGGTAGGGAACCCCCATCCCCTACAGTATGTGGCCTTAGATAGGGTACTATAGTTCATAGAACTATCCTGTAAACCGCCCAGAGACCCCTAGGGGTATGGGCGGTATAGTAAGTGGAAATAATAAATAAATAAATAAACCCAGACAGCCACTGAAAGCATATTAGACAATTGTAGCTTGTTTCCCATGAGCCATAACATGAAGTATACCACTGTGAGGTACATGAGAACTGATCCACACTATGATTTTTATGTAACTAGATAGTAAGTAACTGTGTCACTACAAAGAATCACCTCTTGTGGGTTTAGAAAATGTTCAAAATATATGTTTTTTACAAATCTTACATTATCATTTCACTAATATTAACATCTAATTTGTTTCAAACTACTTTTAATATTTATCATCAGTGAAATCATCTTCTGAGTCCTGAACTGCAAATAAACTTTTTTGAGTTTTTTCCTGGTTGCTACTTGTTAGTAATTCACATGTAGCAGTGCAAGTCCATAGGACAGGAGTGAGCAGCTTGGCAGGAATGAACACTTGCATAACAACATCTCCAAAATTACAACTGGTACAGGTGGTTCATGCATCCAATAGATGACAAGACTGTCATCTTGGTCTGTCATCCACATGTCATCTTTTGGGGAAGGTACATTTTGCTGGCTTTGCAAACTGTGTTTCCAAATTCTTGCCTGGCGCTTGGACCTAAGTGTGTGCATGATGAACAGGTAGAAATGTGAATGCCCGGGAAAAAAACGGAAAAATTCAGGGGGAAAAGGTTTTTTCCTGAAGCCTTTTATGTTTTTTTCCCGAAAAATTAAGAAAAGAAAAAAATGATTATGGAACATTCTATTTTAACATGATGAATAAAATATTTTGTGCAGAATTGACTTCTGCACTTTGTGCTGCCTGTCATTAAACAATTTTATTGCCTTGAAAAGGGAAAAATGTATACAGACTACAGTTGAGAATAGAATCAAACAGCGCTGTAATGCAAATAACCATTTCTTTCTTTCTTTTTTCCTTCTGTAGGCTTCAAGACAGCCTTGAATTCATTAATCAGGACAGTAACATGCTAAAGCCAGATCACAGTACGATTATGAATGGACTGCTTGGAAACATAAGTAATTAAAAGTTTCCTTCCTTGGGCTATTTGTATCAAAAGGCTTTGGAAGATCTGAGTCCAGTAGCACCTCAGAGACCCATAAGAGTTTCAGGCTATAAGCTTTTCAGAGTCAAAACTCCCTTCGTCAGACATGAGTAGAGTTGGAACGAAGCTCTGAATCATTTTATCCTAGTCAGAAGGTGGGAAAGGTGTATCGCAAGAGATGTCCGTTTCTACTCTACTCATGTCTGACAAAGGGGACTTTGATTCTGAAACTCTTGTTGGTCTCCAAGGTGCAACTGGACTGAAATCTAACTGTTCTATTGTAGACTGACACAGCTACCTTCTGAAACTATGAGGAATTTCACATTACCCTTTTAAACCTGTTTTGAAGCAGTTTTTGATCCGTCATGGAGTAAACCGCTATAGGGCTGCCATTTCACACATGGCTTTCCCCTTCTGGTAAAGAGCTGGATCTGGTTTGCCATTTCAGACTGCACCGCTTTCCCCCCGCCGTTTTCCGCCCGCACGGGCGATCCCCAGCTTTTTTTTAATGTTCGCTTTAGAGCGCTATAGCACTATAGTGCTATAACACAACACTCCAGGCATTCCAATGGGGTTGATATAATGCTGTTGCGTTATACCGTTATACCGCTATAAAAGCGAACGTTAAAAAAAAAGCCGGAGATCGCCCGCATGGGCGAAAAACGGCGGGAAAAAGCGCATCGGAACCAGGAGAGGAAACTGAAGACTACTTGGAAGCGGTTGACAGGTAAAACGCTTCAGCCCCGTTTCCTACACGGGACAGAAGCATTTGTGTCTGAAATTACAAATATATTCCGGTAGGGAACCGGTTCTAAAAAGGTTCTGCCTGAAATGACAGACCAGAAACCATTTGGGAACCGTTCCTCTTCCGGATTATATCATCTGTCTGAAATTCCTCATATACTCATTCCATTTGCACTAAAGTCTCTGACAAAAAATGTGGAATTGATTAAGATCCCAAATGACTTGGTCACAGCATTTTATACTCCCAGATTCCAGAGACTGATACAGCTTTCTGTGTGCAAAAGCCTGAATGCTGGAAGCAGATGTTGCACTTCTGGCTAATATTAACATTGGAATCCCTAATATATTTGCCTGGGACAATAGAAGAAGAAGAGATTGGATTTATACCCCACCCTTCACTACCCAAAGGAGTCTCAGAGCGGTTTACAAACTCCTTTCCCTTCCCCTCCCCACAACAGATACCCTGTGAGGTAGGTGGGGCTGAGAGAGCTCTGACAGAAACTGCTCTTTTTCAAGGACAGCTCTTATCAGAACTACAGCTTGCCCAAGGTCATCCAGCAGGTGCAAGTGGAGGAGTGGGGAATCAAACCCGGTTCTCCCAGATTAGAGTCCGCGCACTAACCACTACACCAAACAGGCTCTCAGTACAGACCAGTTAGAGGACACATGTAGAAGCAAGGGGACATGACACAGAGTCAATGAAACTGCCATCTAGCCAATGCCCTATGATGTGGTGAAAACAAAGAACAGAAGCATTTCTAGCCAGTCATTTATGATACCAATGTACAACACTGGCAAAAGGAAGGATCCACCAATAACTTATAGTTTAGGTAGACACCAAGACATTTTTCTGCAGTGCTTTGCAGAAGTATCTTATATGGCTTCTTGTACATATTATTAGGAGGAATTATTAGCATTAGTTATTTATAGAATTTGTTAGCTTTCCAACAGTGCTTTAAAATTTTAATTTGCTCATAAGTTATTGCTCAGATTAGTCAAGGTAAGAAAAATTGGGTTTGGCTATCTTCGTGACATCATGAAAAGCTTGAGCTACCAATCAGAATGGGTTATCACACCAATACATAATACATAGATATACATCTTTCAGAAAAGCAAAGAAGTTTTGTCCTTTTTTTACTCTTGGCCCGTGGACTAAAAAGGGGTGGATATAATTACATGAAAACATTGTACAAATCACATTGTACTTCACAAGGAGAGCAATATAGTCTTAATTCTAATTATATCCGCACTACCTTTCATAAGGCCTTCTGTACCCAAGCAAGCCAAAGCTGACCTGGCAAAAAGAATAAATTCTTCACGTAACTAACAACCCAATGAATTATCTTCCTATTAACTAGTACAGTAACAATACACTACAAAGAGAAGCCCCCTGGAGTAGAATTATGCAGAAAAAACAGGAATAGATAAAAATGGAAACAGAGTGATGCTTGTCTTGAAAATGCTTGTCTCTCTCATAAAAGTCTCTATACCTGCTTTAAGCTGACCATTCAAGCGGATCAAAGTTAACAAGCTCTAATTATAGTTCAAGGATAAGCAAGATAACAGTCTCTCTTCTATAACAAAAGTGCAACATAGATTCAAGTAATCCACTAAGAATTTGTCAACTCAATGCTTATCACATAATTTACTGATTTCATTATCAAAAATAAGGTGCTGGCCACTGTCTTCATCTGCTTTCAAGGTGATTCACACTTAGCAACAGAAGCATGATGTCTGCTTTCCCTGTGGCTCAGTTTCATGATGTTCTCCAAACTTTCATTGTCCAAAATGAAACTCCCCTATATTATCAAGGAGAACTAACTGAAAAGATCATGCTACACCAATCCAAACCAAACTTAATTAGCTGCCAATTTGTTTCTGTACATAATTTAAAATGCTGGGTTTAATCTTCAGCTTGGTCCCATTATACACAAAGGATCATCTTCGCCTATATGTACTTAATAACCAGACACTAAACTTCATGTGCTATAACCATTACAGGCTTTGACAGGTGGCAACATATGACAGTGCTTTCTTGGTTGTATTACTGAGTGCAATTCCTGTGATTTACATCTGGCCCTCTCCCTTGAGGATGTCAGGAACACAGTAAAAATCTTTTCAATGTAGGTTTTGCATTAAGTAAAGGTGATTTTACTAAAGACTATGAGAATGTAGCTTTCTATCTAAGTTGTTAAAGTACTGCTTCAGTCTAGACCTTTACTCCATCTGTTTATATTATGATGTGTTTTTTTATTATCTGGCACTTGGGTGGAAAAGCAGAATGAAAACACTGTGCTTAAATAGAAGAAGAAGAGGAGATTGGATTTATACCCCGCCCTTCACTTGGAGTCTCAGAGCGGCTTACAAACTCCTTTCCCTTCCCCTCCCCACGACAGACACCCTGTGAGGTAGGTGGGGCTGAGAGAACTCTGACACAAACTGCTCTTTTTCAAGGACAGCTGTGCCAGAGCTTGTGACTGACCCAAGGTCACATCAGCAGGTGCAAGTGGAGGAGTGGGGAATCAAACCCGGTTCTCCCAGATTAGAGTCCGCACACTTAACCACTACACCAAACTGGCAAATAAATAATCATGTAAAACCACATGTACACTGATAGCACTTGATCAACAATAATATCAAGCCATAGAATTCTACAACCCTCTGGGATAGGAGTGATACTTTTGCCTTTGCTTCTGAACTTCCAATAGCAGCCCACAAGTAAAGCTTTCCCCATCGTGCCAGGGAAATCATTATTTGCTTAATTAGTTTTTGGAACATCAAGTTGCTGCTGCAGGCACAGGAAAATAGTTGGCAGATGGGCCTTCTGCCCCACAATCCAGTGAAACATATCCAGCCCAGTCTTGCAACTCATGCTCAGTTTGCTGGTGCAGTTAATAAATAGGTTTGGTGTCCAAACAAGTTCCAAGACCCAACAAGCCTTCTGCCTAGCAGACAGCAATCATACTGGTGACTCCTTGCACATCATTTTCTCTCCTCTTCCAAATATATTGCATACCATAATGCTCTTAAGCACTGTGGCACATGGGGACCTTATGGAACAGTCCTGGTCAGGGGAACAGTTATTCCATTTGGTCTCATCCGCAATGTCTTGTTTGGAGGTGAGAACCCCCTCTCAAACAGGTGGAGAAAAGGAAGAGCCATCAGGCTCATCTCTACCTTTCCCTCCCTCCCATTTCAATAATTCTTTATGGCCTTTGCTTTCAGCAGTGTGGGAGACAAACGATTCAATTTTTTGAACTGATAAATATAGCCATGTTGATCCACCCAAAAAGAATAACAAGAAAAAATAACAACAATAGTTTATGTTTGGACCAACCAAAATCTTTTATTTAAGAAACTGTTAGCCTATAGGCAAAACTGATTTTTTTTAGTTCATTTCTGTATAGCTCTTTGTTTTGAAGGTCTTTTGTAAAAATAATAATAATTATTATTATTATTATTTGTATTATTTCCCGTCTCCCTGACAACCATGCCAAAGCTCCAGAGATTAACACTGGTCTCCATGCTCTCACTTTTGGGCACCAGACGAGCGACAGCAGTCCCGGTGGGCCTCGGAGCTGCCTTCAAACCACAACCTCCAGCTGACAACTCCGTTCCAAACTGAGGGGATGTGAAGTGAGGCCCGGGGGCCAAAAACTCCTCCTTGCATCGCCGCTCTGTTCCGCAGCAGCTGCTAAGGCATGAGCGGACTGAGCTCCCACAGAAGCGTTTCTCCTCAGGAATGGGAAGGGTTAAACGGTGCCCATTTTTTTAAACAGCCATTTCGCTCGCTCCCCCTTCCCCCACGCCGCCCGGACTGACCTGACGCCACGGCTCTGCGCTAAGAGTCAAGGCAACGTCATGCCGAAGGAAGCACTCGCCACCGCTCGCAGGGCCGCCTTCTCCGCTTTTCCAGCGTTGAATTCTCGCGCGATGCCACAAGGACTTGGGTCTTCGCCGGTTCTATTGGTTGCTTAGGAAGCGGCACTTGCTTCCGCGCAGGCGCACACAGTGATAACAAAAATCATGGAGTGCCATTTTCTCGATCTTCTTATTAGCGGCTTTTATTGATATATGTGGGGGGGACCCTAGAGGGACACAAATTCTGAACTTCCGGTAAAAATGGAAAGCCGCCATTGCACATGACGGTGTCGCTCTAGCTTCTTATATTTCTATGGTATGTCTCTATCGTATGGTAGAGTTACACACAGGAAACATGACAGTATAAAGTACGTGACCAAGTTGATCCAATGGGTATGCAGACCGATTGGTGAAAGCAGTCTTTAGCATTGGGAAAACGGCGCGATTTGAAAGCGGAAGCGTTGTTGAGAGTCTGCAGGTAGGGAGGTCTGTGTGCCGCGTACTGATGGCGTCACTCAGCCATTGCACATGACGGTGTCGCTCTAGCGTCTTATATTTCTATGGTATCTATTTATAGTATGGCAGAGTTACACACAGGAAACATGACTAAGTACGTGACCAAGTCGATCCAATGGGTATGCAGACTGGTTGGTGAAAGCCGTCCTTAGCATTGGGAAAACGGCGCGATTTGAAAGCGGAAGCGTTGTTGAGAGTCTGCAGGTAGGGAGGTCTGTGTGTCGCGTAGAGATGGCGTCACTCACAGCTGGTTGAGCGGGAAAGGTTTGAAGATGGAAGTGGTGCCGCTGGATTTGCTTGTGTGTGTCTGAGGTGAGGAGACTGAGACTGCTCTCGTGAGTAAGGGGGGGGGGACCACGCTTGGGAGGCGGGAGGGCTGCGAAAAATTGACTCGCCTTTGTAGGTAGGCTGGCTTGTGACTCGGGCTTATTTCCTGTGAAGTGGAGGGCTGTGATCGATCAGTTCCTTCAGTCGTCTGGATTTCGCGGTAGGGAGAGAGACTCAGCGGCCACCCTCACTCGCCTTTATGTATTTATTTAAAACATTTATTAGCCGCCTTTTATCTTATAGAAACTCAAGATGGTTTACAATGTAATTTTTCATAAAATACACATTGTTCTCTCTCCTGCAGTTGGTGGCTTCTTCAGGGTCTTGACTACCCCCTGTGCCCTGAGCAGGCCGTTTGTATTACAGGCAGGCACTTCTGTCCTAGGAGAGCCAGCGTGGTGGTTAGGGTCTGGGAAACCCATGTTGTGGAAGCTCTCTAGGTTACCTTGGGCCAGTCACATATTCTCAGACTAACCTCCCTCACAGGGCTGTTGTGAGGATAAAACAGAGAAGATAATAATGACTTGAGCTGCTTTGGGTCCCCATTGGAGAGAAAGGTGGGATGTCAATAAATAAACGATTACTTGGCAGAAAGTAGCACTGTGCTCAGTGAGGTTTCCTGTGGTGTAAGTATGTTAGAGAGTGCAGTCTAATGGAATGAGCTGTGATCTCAGATGTCCCTGGTTCAAATATTGCTTCTTCCATGAACAAAAGCTTGATTTACACATTGCAGGACAATGAGGTGTGTGATAAGTTGGTAGAATGGACTGCAGCACTTATACTAAAGGATCATTGGAGGTTCACATTTTGTCATGTGCCTTTATGTAGAAAGATCTCTGCAAACAGAGGCCCTTCCGGGTGAAGGAAATGGGAAGAAGCTTTCTCTTTGCTATGCTGGGCATATTGAATGTGATGAAACATTCAAATGCTGGAATCCATCACCTGCAGCCCAAAACGGGGCATTCTATTCTGTTACATCATTCTCTGCCACATGTAAACATTTAATGGGTTGTAGTCTGTAGGCCAGCCACTCTTCAGTACCCCCCTCCCCGCATTCTGGTTATAATACTGACTCCCTACAGTATTGCTGTAAGGATTTCAACAAGATACCATCTGTGAAGTAAACCCTGAAAGTGACTGAGTCCTTGGAAGGCACAAGATGCAGCAGCCTGGCTTGCTGAAGCTAAACAGATTTGGGTCTAATTTGTTAAAGGGTGGGGGGGAAGATTGCTAATGTCTTCCTAGCATAGAAGATAAACCCTGGTCTCACATCAGAGATTGAATCATATATACAACACTGAGTGGCAGCACTTGCGAAGGCAAACTAAAATTAAAATGTACCTCTTCTATTAATGTTGCTATTATCGTTCCCACTCGTCAGCCTAGTTTTAAAGCAGAGGTGAAAAATTTAGAGAGGGAATTATTAGGTCTGGTGCATTCTAGGAACAGGAAAAATATTTTGAGGAAGTAGGAAAAGCTAGAAAAAATTGTTTCAGAAGAGTAGCCTTATTGGTCTGCAGTAGAAGAGCTAGATTTGAATCCAGTAGGACCTTAGAGACCAACAAGATACTCAGGGTATAAGCTTCATAGAGTCAAAGCTCCTGTTGTCAGATATGAAATAGGTATATTGCAGATGTAATGTGTGGTAAGCCTATGGCCCTAAATCAACATCATTATGATTTAAGTTTCCTTAACAAAAGAGTATTCACATATGTTTTAATGCTTTAAAGTGCTCTTTGTGCATGTTTGAGAGAAAGTAGAGAGATCTGAAGATAAATTGCCTGAATCTAGAAGTCCTTGTGGCTTGCCTGTAACAATGCTATCGTTGCTAAATCTATAGGACTGCCTCTCCTGGTACATCCCCCAAAGAGTGTTACACTCAGGGGAGAAGAACTTGCTGGTGATCCCTGGCCCAAAAAGTATCCGGCTGTCTTCAACCAGAGCCAGGGCTTTTTTGGCCCTGGTGCTGGCCTGGTGGAACTCTCTGCCAAATGACATCCGTGCCTTGCAGGACCTAGTGCAGTTCCGCAGGGCCTGCAAGATGGTGATGTTATGTTAGGCCTATGATTGAGGACAGGAACAGTTTCCATCTAGCCTGTCTTCCTCCTCTTTCCTTCTCTCCCCACTGGGGAATGCGACTAACCTGTATTGTATGTGCCATCTGTAAGCTGCTGCTGAATTGTTAGATTGCTTTAATTATTTTAGGCCCCCGTCACACGGGCCGGATATCACGGGGGGAGGCGTGGCTAATTGCCCCGGCGCAGTTTGATGCGTGATTACACGATCAGATGCACCTGCGGCGCACGACGGGTCCTTCCCTTGGCGCCGGCGGGTAAACGAGGGATCGGAGGGGAATGCCCCGCTCCGACGCGATCACACCACGGGCATCTGGAGGCAGCCCGTGGCAAACGTTTACTAGTACCTTGGAGGTACTAGTTTTTTAACTTGCATCGTCGGCGGTAAGCCGCAGGTGCGCTCCACTTCCCAGATGTTGGGGTGTGATCGCGCCCGGATAATCCGCCCACCATCCGTGCCTCTCCCGCGGCAACTTTGCCGTGTGATCGGGGCCATAGTTTGTATATTGGAAGTTTGTTTCCCCGCCCTGATCCCTGTTGCACAGGGGAGGGCGGGTTATAAATCAAATAAATAATAATTAAAAAACTATTTTTTCAGATTTTTTTGCTGTCAAGTTATATTTGGTTTATGGCAACCCCTGGTGGGGGTTTTAAGGCAAGAGACATTCAGCGGTGGTTTGCCATTGCCTGCCTCTACATACCCACCCTGGACTTCCTTGGTCTCCTATCCAAATACTAACCAGGGTCAAACCTCCTTAGCCTCCAAGATATGACAAGATCAAACTAGCCTGGGCTGTCCAGGTCAGGACTTCCAGAAAATATTTCTGAATAACATTTGATTCCAAAGTCAATTGTTCGAATTTTAGAACTGTAGTTAATGAACTGTTCCAATTTATTAAGTAATCTAATTTATTATTTTTCTTTCTGAAGTAGAAAAACCCTCTTGAAATGTAAGTGAGCCACCTGGTGGTAGTTGTATAGTATTGACGGTATTGAATATAAAAATTTATTCAATATGGAATTTTTAAAAACCGAGAAAGCACAAAAAAAGGGGCTGTTGCTGCTCCCAAGCCCTTGTCTTACCTAATCACTAAACTGCTTTTTGAACTTTGGGAGTTCAAAGATTTGTTTTTCAGGGTAACTTGTCAATAAGTAGTGAGAGGGACAAAAGGATGTATGTACCTCTGTGGATAGCAGCCTGTACATTCAATTGATTAAACAAGATTTTTTCCCCCCAGATAGTATGAAGATGGCTTGCCAGGAATTTACTGTGAGTCTTTAATATTTCAACATATTTTTTCATTTAATTCCACAGTATTTCAGAGACATCAGCATTATCGTAATACATTATCATGTGGGGTTTTTTTAAATATAGGTTTTATACACCCACCAGAAGACGAAAAAATCCAAAGTATGGCAAGATGGAATTTTGAAATCCACTGTTGGTGGAAATAAGGTGAAATTTCCAGTATGCATTACAGTATTTGAATATATTGACAATATCCATGGATTTTATTGTTTTGTTACTTGATGAAATATCATTGCTCTAATTACATTTTCTGTTTTAATACAGGCAGTCTTATGTGATGTCAAAGGACAGGTTTTGGACAGTATTTTTGTAAAGTTTCAGGTATATACTTTTTCTTGTGACTTCAACAACTAGTTTGTTCTTGTGACTTAAAATCTGCTGTGTTGATTTATCTAGGACCATGATTATTTGTGGTTTGCTACCCAGTATCTCACCTTAAGTTACAATTAATTCTAGTTTCCTGTATCAAGCATTAGGTAAGATATATAGTCAGGCAAGCTAAACGGTAATCTAAAAATAGATTCCTCCTGTCATAAAATAATTGACAAAGGACAAAATCATATAATAACTTTTACATTGTGAGTTGACCCAAGGCTGAGTCTTATATTTTGGTGACATCTGAATTTACCGTAAATAGGATATAATTAATCTCTTGAGTATCTCTACTTCCTCCAAGGAGCTCATAGTGGCTTATATTCTTCATATTCTCTCTCTCTTTCTCTTTTCTTGGAAAACCCTCTGAGGTATGTGAAGTTTACGGCGTTTGTCTTGTCTGAGGTCATCCAGCTAGCTTCATGTCAGAATGGGGGTTTGTACCCCCTAGTTCAACCAGGAATGCTAGTTGATTGCAGAACTCTGATTGTGCTGTGATTCATAGAAATTCTGCTTTCAATGAAATATATACTATTTCCAGTTGGTCCTGAAAAGCTCCAGGTTTCATACATTACAATCAACACTTTTCAACCAAACTTCTATGCAGAAGTAAGCTTAGAGATATGAACCATATGTCTGCTGAAAATTCTATAACTGGAGGAGACATGATATATTTACAGTATCTAAAATGTTCTCAAGATATGGTGGTCGAGGCCACTTCCAAATGTGGAAATCTTACACTATCAAACCTGCATGGACCTCAGCAGTGGAAAGGATTTCTGCATGATTAACATGATTCCGACTGCTGGGTTGGATGCAACCAGCTCCTCCCTGAAAAAGGGAGGAAGGAGTCTCCTTTGACCACTATAATGCTATGCTGAGGATCTTGGCACCAGCACGATAAAAGCCCTATAGTACTGTAATAAGTAACAGAGAGGTGAAATGGAGCAAAAAAAGCTCACTGGATTCAACTTGATGTTTCCTGACAGTGTGACATACAGTTAAATAGTAGCCTTGTTTCATTTGTTTGCGTGTATAAGATACTGATACAACTTTGCTAAATTAGCCTCTCTCCCTTTGCATCATCTTGTTGTATTGGTCTGCAGTAGCAGAGCAAGAAAGACCACCAAGATATTCAGGGTATAAGTTTTCAAGAGTCAAAGCTCTATCTGAGGAAGGGAGCTTTGACTCTCGAAAGTGTATAACCTGGAAATCTTGTTGGTCTTTAAGATGCTGCTGAATTCAAATCGCGTTCTCCCTTTGTAACTTGCGCTATGGGGAGATTCCAATGACTATTCCTAGAAAGTGATAGTTCATAAAAGAAATCTAGGAAATGTATGCTATAAATACAATTAGTGAATACTCACACAACTAATTTACGTTGGGGATATTTATGGAAATCTTACTTAGTGAAGGTAGATCTTGCTCACAAGTAAAGAAATATGTAGAGCTTGGGCTAAAATGCCATATGTTGTTTCACTTCCTATGAAGATGCTACTGCATTTCCTCACTATTTCTTCTCCCTATCTCTCTGCTTAGGTAAAATCAGGAGATGACTTGGAAAGTGAGCGATACTTAATCACAGTCGAAGCTGAAAAAAATTCTGGAATTGATGGTGATAATATTTTACCAAAAAACACAGAAGTGCCCATGTTAACCACAAATAATTTGAGGATCCGTGCCTCATCTCTGCATGTGCCAGTTGGCCTCAAAAGGAAATTTACTGTACGTCATTATTTTTCCCACCTTTTCTTTTTCAGCTCACGTTCAAAAAGCTCCATTGTACTATCTGAGATTAACACAGAATAATCTGATAGAGAGCTAGTTATTTTGTTAGCAAGCACATACTAGCATAATAAATTATTTGAAATGTACATAAAAATAGAGGAGCTGTGGTGGCTCAAGTGGTTAAGATGCTGAACTGCAGGCTGTGGAAGGTCAGTAGTTCAGCAGTTCGAGACCTGAGTGTGCCGCATGATGGAGTGAGCTCCCATCTCTAGTTCCAGCTTCTGCCAACCTAGCTATTCGAAAGCAAGAAATTGCAAGTAGATAAATAGGTACCACTTCGGTGGGAAGGTAACAGTATTCCGTGCGCCTTGGTGTTTAGTCATGCCAGCCACATGACCATGGAAACGTCTTCGGACAGCGCTGGCTCTTCAGCTTTGAAACAGAGATGAGCACCGCAACCCTAGAGTCGGACTCGACTGGCTTTCGAGCAAGGGAACCTTTACCTTTACATACAAATAATCTTATATTATTTATGTCTTCTGTAGACTGTGCCTTGAAATTACACACCACAATCAGCAATAGTGTCCCTAAGCATAGAATTCGTTTTGAGGCAGCAAAACTCTGTGGATTGTGCCCTAGGCTCCATAGCTATGATATGGGAGGCACTCTGGTGGATTTCCATTTTTCTGTCAAACACAGGAAGCTGTAATTATTGTTATGGGATTTTAGTTGAATAATTCCCAGAGTTTGGACAGAGTTCCACGGAATGGCTATGTAACTTACTAGACCAGATGGCTTCCTTCTATGGGGCTGCAATATGATGAACTAACTGAAAGGGACTGGGAGCAGTGTTTTGATTCTAAATTCAAACATTTTGTTGGGCTCCTTGGATGGTGTTGAGGAGACTGTGTAAGTGTTATTTACTGTAACTCTCTGAATTCTTTAGCTTCAAAGCAAACCTACTGTATAAAATCATGTTTATGCTACAACAAAGTCTTGCTGAATGAATACTACAGTGAGCAAGCTGTATTGCCTTTAACCCTGCTTCTTGGCATTTAAGATTTGAGTTACTAAACTGGTTACAAATTTTGATTGAAAGCATTCCTCCTTCTAGGGTTTCCAAGGGCCACGCCATGTGGAAAAGAAAATGGCAACAGTGAAAGAACCTGTAGCAACTGCTTCACCTAAGTGTCCTGAATCATCCTTTCCGTCTCAGTTCTATGTCTGTTCTCCATTATTTTCTGCTCCTTACCAGAAGAAGGAAGAGGCTAATTTACTACCAGTCTTTAAAGGAGATGCTCTTATGAGTAGTAGTACTGAGTCTATCACGTCAGTGTCTTTTATGCCTTATCCTGATCATCACAAAGTGGTACAGAATGTTAGTTATTGTACCGGTAGTGCAGATCCGGAACACTTGAAGCCAGAATCTCACCTGGATAATGGGCTAGTTAATTTAAACTACAATGCAATGAATAGTGTGGCAGTTTCACAGAACATCAGGAGTAAAGGACAGATTATTGAACTTCTCAAGTCTAAAACACCACTGTTTAGCACGGAACAAAAACATTCTATGTCCCCAGAGTGTGAACGTGCCAGTACACTGAACAATCTACCATTGACAACGTCACAATTTCCTCCAGAAAGTCTGCCTCTGTCTGAGCCATCAAGAAGCACAGACTTTTTGATTCAACAGAAGATGTCACCTGTGTTGGGATCTGTAAACAGCACTAAAAAAGAATCTACTGAACATATACAGGGTGTGCCGTCCACAGCCAAAAATGTTCAAACAAAAAGTCGATGGGATGCATACTTGCCATCACATGTATCAGAAGAACCTCCTGATCTCAATGACACAGGACACAATGATAAGCTCGTTAGTGACTTGCAGCCAGTTATAAAGGACTTGAAGGAGGGGGGTGATGATACTAGGAACCAGTACAAGGTTGATACAAACATTCCTCAAATTCCTTCTTCCCTGGGAATCAGCAGTTCTCCCATTAGTAAAACTTTTGTTACAAAGCAGCCACATAGCTCTATAGTAATTGAATCCTGCATGAATATAGGGAATAAAAGTGAAGTTGTATTGCTGGAAGCACTTGATGCTAATCTTTCCAAATCTAATGAATACCCAGTGGCTGCTAACTTAGAGGCATTTTGCCATCAATCACAAAATGAACCATGTTCAGTAATAAGTTCTGAAAATTTCTCAGATGGAGAACTTGGTGATCCAGCCAAGCAGTTTATTCAAGTTAACTTTGATGTTCTAGATATACAGGATTTTAGTGACACAGAGGATGGAGAGTGTCATGCAGATAGTGTGCTTTCACAACAATTGGCGCGTTTGAAAGCAGAAAGAGAGGTCAGTGTTGAAAAAATCAGTGAAGAAAAGGCATGTATTACTGAGGGGAAGGATAGCATGCAGTCTGCATTTCTACAAGGGAGCAATATGAATTGCACTTCACAGTCTTGTGACAAAATGTTTGAGGATGCGAAGAAGTATGTGGCTAAATGTAATTTTCGAAGTGAATATTCAGAGGCTACATTTGTAGATGACATAGTAGGGTCTAATGCAATTGGTGCCGAGAATTCAGATACTCATACAGGTCTTGACTACATTGGCAGAAACTGGTTAATGGTAAATGATGTAGGCTGTGGTATGAATAAGAAGTGTCCTACTCAGACATCTCACCTTCAAACAAAAGTAATTTCATATGTTCATCCCCATTCAAATATTTCTTTCATGGACAAAAATAACAAAGGTATAGAGGCTGGGAGGAATAATTCACAGCTTCCTTCTGTACATATTTGTGATGACATGGCATTAGTTAGTCCAATCCTGACTGTTGAAGAGAGTAACAGTTCTTCTGATGGCTTTCCACAGTATATTGCAAATAAACATGATGCTGCTCCAGAGAGTAGTTATGACAGGCCAAGGGCTCACCCCCTAGATTGTGAGCCTTTTTCAGATGAAACACAAATGTGTAAGGAGGAACTGGAAGATATAATTGGTCCCCCAGAAGCTTTTAATGAATTCATTGAAGAAAATGAGAAGAATTCTTCAGCTTCTAGCCTTCCCAAGTTGACAAATGGCTTCTGCCTGTTAAGGTCACTTACAGAACACAGCACAGCCTTGGAAAGCTTGCAAATGATCGAGGAAAGTCCTGGCCTATCGTACCAGAGAGGGACTCTGACAGAGAAACACATATCCAAAGAAGGACCCGGAGGTTATTAGCTTTTATTTTTAGATTATAATTTATTTCAAAATATTGTTTCTTATCTTACTACTTTATCCAATTGCTTTTCTCCATATGGAGGTTTAACACTCTAGGTGAGATCTAGTTCCAGGCATGACATATGATTTTGTTGACTGGCGTTATGTACAGAATACACTCGGCCATTTTTTAAACTTTTCAAAATGTTGGATCAAAAAGGCATAGAGAGGTTTTTCCTTCTGTGAAGCTGTGGTATACCCTTACTCATTTATTTATTTATTATTAGATTTATATACCGCCCTCCCCAAACGGGCTCAGGGCAGTGTACAACAATTAAAATAATAATAAAATAATTTACCACCAGAAAGTTACTTGTTCTGGAAGATGGGAATGTAACACTTTCTGTATTATCATGGCAAGGGAGTCAGTGTTATGTAGACCTCCTGCAGACTTAACAGTCCCCTAGTGGATTCCTATGCATAGTTACTCCAGTTTATTGAAATCAACAGGCTTAGACTGGAATAACTCAGCACATAATTGCACTGGCAGTATCCTATCTATAGGACTGCAGGAATGCGCTGTGGCCTTAAATGCTTCTTCCTTCCCATTTCAAATGCTCCCTTCAAATTCTAATGAAGAAGGAGATCTGCAAGTGTTGCTAAGTGGCCTCTAAGTATATTTAGCCTAGGTTATTTTCCACCATCATAAGTATTGATGTAGGCTTGATTCTGTTTTTAAAGCAAGGTCATAGAATCTTTGTTGGAGGAGCTGATTATATTTTCTTTGCTGTATTTTAATGTTTATGTGGCCTTTCTGATAAAACACAAGCTGGGTAATGACAAGGGCTAAAATACACAACAGTCTGAATAAATGCATACCAAAATGTCAGAGCTTATCCCATAAATGCAATAATCTCAAATATCTAAGTAGACTAATGCTGCAAATTTCAACAATTTTCTGCAAATGCCCCCTGGAACAAAATTTTATAGGCTCTTTGAAAGTTAATAAGGAAGGGGCCTGGCATAGAATCTCCTGGCCGTTCTGGGATGTTGATGCGGCAATTCTCCTGTATGAGGAATTGGGCCTTTTCAATCAGACTAGCGGCAAAGGATGACCACTAGATCTATGAGCGTGGAACAAGTCTAAGAGTACAAACGGGCACACAGCAAGAGAGGCAATTCTTGAAGTCTGTGAAGCTTGTGCAGAGCTTTAAACATCATAACCAGAATTTTGCATGGAACCTGAAGGCAATTGTTTCATCATATATTAACATGCCCTCATGAGCAAACAGTAACATGCCTGTCATTCTCCTGATTGGAATGAGGTACATTTACACTGGGCCTTCTGTAGTTTGTACTAACCATAATGTCTCAAGTTACAGATATACTGGGGGAAAATGTGTACATATAGATGCAGTTGTTAAAGTATATGCAGGCAAAGCATATGCATTAAATATTAAGCTAAGTGGCTCCATTTTATACTTGTGATTTAAAGTAAGCAAGCACTTATCTTTGAAGAATGTTTCTCTGTATCAAATTAAGCTGTAAGTAGAAGGATTGTTATGGAAGCCTGTGGAAGATGAAGGCCCGTTATTACTAGACAACTCCAGATAAGCAAAACAAAATTCTTCAAACAGAAGTATTCATAAAAGTACAAAACAGCTTGTTCAAATGTTCTTCAAATATTTGCACTCCCTGGTACAGTGGGGTAGATCCAACCATCCTCTGAGTAGTGATCCTCCAGCCTAACGAGGCCTCTTTCAATTTGTGAGGTTCTTCCTGCAATGGAAGAACCACTTAATTTGGAAAGTGGTGTCAGACTAGCCAAAAGGAAATGTGGGGTCTCAATATAAATAAACTTTGCTTAGTGGCGTGGTAGGGTAGGGGTAGGATCCACCCCAGTAAAAGCTTAGTTATCTGGCACTTGATTATCCCTAAAGCTCAGTTAATCAGCATTGCCCAGAGGACAAGCTCCTCCTCAGCTACCATACCCTTGCATCCTCAGGCATATGTGTGTCATCCAGCTGGACAGTTTCATGCCTCTGGCCACTGCCTCTCTTCTGTCAGTCAAAGCTGCCAGCTGATGTCATCCTTGGGTGCCTCCTTCCCCTCAGCCTGTCTTGAGCTGTTGGATGCCAGCTCTGTGGGAGGGTTCCCGGGCATCCAGCCTCCTTGACTGCCTGATGTCTAGGGTGGTTTGGGGGAAAAGGAAGTGTCTCTCCAGGAGTGGGGACTGTCACCATGGCATTCCCAAGAGGGTGGTGTTTGGTCTATGTATATTCTTCTGGACAGGAGGCTGTGCAGAGTAGTAAGCCTAATGTATTTGATTAACTGGCAGCAACCCCCGTTGCCAATGAGTGCCTGACAACAAAACTTTTACTGTACCTCTAATAAAACAGTTTTAAAATGTACTTGGAAACTGAACAGCTACACAGTAGCGTAGCAAGTGGATTATACAAGTGAGTGGTGAAGGAGGAAGGTTCACAAAGGTGGCTTTAGGTGAGCCATTTAGGAGAGCCAGTTTGGTGTAGTGGTTAAATGCACGGTCATCATCATCATTTTATTACGGTCAGAGACCCATTAAACAGCATTAAATGCACGGTCTAATCTGGGAGAACCGGGTTTGATTCCCCACTCCTCCACTTGCACCTGCTGGATAACCTTGGGCAAGCTATAGTTCTGGCACAGCTGTTCTTGAAAAAGAGCAGTTTCTGTCAAGAGCTCTCTCAGCCCCACCTACCTCACAGGGTGTCTGTTGTGGGGAGGGGAAGGAAAAGGAGTTTGTAAGCCGCTTTGAGACTCCTTTGGGTAGTGAAGGGCGGGGTATAAATCCAATCTCCTTCTCCTTTGCCTCCCTATTTATGGTATGGGGTTAATAGTGGAGTTGTAAAAATCACTGGCATAAGGTACATAAATACACACACAGCTAAGGGCTTTATAGGGGTGGGCTGTTATAAAAAGCTACAATTGAAGCATTCAAAAGATCAGTGTCCCTCTTCAGTTTTGTGATGCCTTTTTTTTCAGTCGCACTTCAAGACAACTGAAAAGAAATGTAACAAACAATTTAAAAACATGGGGGGGGATTTAAAATCCAGTCATTATTGTGATTCAGTTTACCTGCATGCCATGAAAAGCTTCAGCTGCTCATGTCCACACTCCATACATGAAACTTCTGTTAAAGCATTGGGACAGTTTTCTCCAGACCTGTTGGCAATTTAGTTTCACCCCATCCACCAAAATGTCTTGCATGTCCTTCTGGTTTTTTCCCTCGCACTTGCTCTGGTGCTATTAATCAGTTGAAAACTTTCATTCAAGAACCTTAAAAAGAAGAATAGATTGGATTTATACCCCGCCCTTCACTCGTCAGAGCGGCTTACAAACTTTTCCTTTCCTTTCCCTTCCCCTCCCCACAACAGACACCCTGTGAGGTGGGTGGGGCTGAGAGAACTTTGACACAAACTGCTCTTTTTCAAGAACAGCTGTGCCAGAGCTTGTGACTGACCCAAGGTCACATCAGCAGGTGCAAGTGGAGGAGTGGGGAATCAAACCCGGTTCTCCCAGATTAGAGTCCGCACACTTAACCACTACACCAAACTGGCACCAATCCCTTGCTCTCAAATTACTGTGTGGCTGTGATTCTGACAGATCTTACAGGTTTTTTTTATTATATGTATTCCTCCTCCTTGCCACACAGATACTCTAATTTCAGATTCCCTCAAGTAAAAAAGCAGTTTACCGTATGGCATCAGGTGGGAGGCTACCATCTGAGGTGTGAACAGGGTAATTACAGACTCTTCTAACTATGGAGCTGTGTTTTTGTAAAAAGTGACCAATGTATACCAGAATGGGAGATTACATGTGAGGGATTTTTCAATAAGAGTCGATTTTATCAGTTATAGTCTTGGGGGTCTTTACAGTAGAAGAAGAAGATACTGGATTTATACCCCACCCTTCACTTGGAGTCTCAGAGTGGCTTACAATCTCCTTTTCCCCTCCCCTCAACAGACACCCTGTGAGGTAGGTGAGGCTGAGAGAGCGCTTTCATGAACTGCTCTTGAGAGAATAGCTCAGAGAACGTGTGACCGACCCAAGGTCACACCAGCAGCTGCATGTGGAGGAGTGGGGAATCAAACCTGGTTCTCCCAGATAAGAGTCTCTTAACCTCTTCACCAAACCAAATCTACCCTGTGTCATTTTATTCTTTTTTGGAATCAAAGATCTGGAGCTGAACATTTTCCAGTGCTTAAGTTTTGTCATAGAAATTTACCTTTCTAAAGATTTGTTGTTTCATAAAAATTAATAGTAATGAATGGATTGGTAGGTATGACTCATTGTATAATGCAATTAATCCTTTAAATATTTTTCTTTATTTCATTGTGACTTAGGTTTTCTGTGCTTTCCTCTGTTTTGTAGCTAGGCAACATTTTGCTGAAGTGTCTTATTCTGAAAATGTGACGATGTCTTCATGTTCTGATGCATCTAAAACGGTAACTTTAGGAAATACTTTTCTATTGATTATTAAGAAAAGTAATAATATTTTAGAGCTAAGAATAATGCTGTACAAGCCAAAGGCCCCTTTTTTTTGGTGCATATACACATGTGTTGCATTTCTGATACCACCCTCATCTGCAGCCCCCTAAATTTGGGTCTTGTGGGTCAGTGGACCTACCAGAGCAACTTTATGGAACAAGTAAAGCATGTAAGACTCAGTAAAGCTTTTACTCTGTAATACTGAAATTCATTGTCTGAGACTGGACCTTCTCTTGGAATTATGTGGGCCACAGCAGGTGGCCATGACCTTTGGGCTGCCAACTGCTTGTATGGCATCCTGACAGCAAGAGGGCTCCTATACGTCACTGAGCGGCCCCTTTATGGTTCCAGATGTTTTTCATCTGCAATACATAATGTCATACATAATGTTGAAGGGATTTTTAGTGGTCTAATCTTATTCAAGGATGAAGAAAAAATGGGCTGCACCCAGCAATGTGCCAACAGAACAAAAAGGGGAGGGAAATGGCAGGTGGTAGCTGTCCAATTTATTATTGCACTAAGTCCCTACATGTTTCACTTTACAGGCTTCATCAAGGGGAATCAGAACATTCACTGAGTGCTGGAACTGTCCACAGCAATTAAATTCTTTGTACAATAATAAATCGGACAACCATCACCTGGCATTTTTTCCCTTTTTATTCTGCTGATCTTATTCAGTCACTATAGTCGAAAGTAAATGTGTGCTAAGTACAGAATATCCCATCTTTCTCTTGACCTCTTTATGATCATTTATTTCTAGCATTGTTCTTTAAGCAATCATGTAGAGAAACCTGCAGCAGCTGTAGCCAAGATGCTACATGGCCGAAGTCCAACTGGAGTGGCTGAAAGTCAATCAAAGGTATAGAGAGCTGATTTAATAAATGAAATGACTGGGATACAGCTGTAACTAGTTCCTTGTGTCCAAGGGGTCTTTGGGTGTATGCTTCTCAAACAGCAATGTCCTATTGACCATGAGAGGCTGTTTTTTAAAACAGAGTATTTCAAAAGTGGTGTGTGATGTGGCATGCTGATCTGCTTTGTAAAAGGGATGGTGGTCGAATCAAAACTCCCTCCAAGCAACTGCAAAGGCCTTGAGCATGAGTAAGAGATCTCTTGATCTGTTAGGGGATGGTAATAATTGCCTGTCTGGTTTTTCACTTGGGATGTAATTTTAAAAGAAAGATAAGTATTCATAGATAAATGATTGCAATCAATAGGATCCAGCAGAAGACTTTTGCTTGCCAGACCTTTGTGTGTTTAGGGAGCACCCATTCAGAGACAACTGCCTCTATGGTAGAAGGATACATGGCTTGCAATGTCCCAGCATTTGTAATTGTCCCCAGTTCCCCCATGGCAACCATTTTGTGATCAGTCCCATCTACCTTACCAGCCATTTTATGCTGGTGCCCACTCATAATTGCCCATAGGCTCAACAAGGTTAGGTCCCTCTGCTCTAGTCTAAAATAGTCTCAGGTGTGTAAGAGGTAGCAGGAACGTCAGTAGATCACACAATGCTGGCTTCTATGAAATATGATTAACAAATAGCGTATCAGCTTCAGGAACATGCACTCCTTTGCCACAAGCCCTCTGTAGCTGAAGCTGTTAAATCAGCAGTAGCATCAACTACATTTAAGGTTAACCAGAATTTCTGCAGCCAAAGTGCGATTTGAATCCTGTGTTAAGCAAACTCTTTTTAAACTTAACCAGAATTTGTTCCAGGAAGGCAAGGCTTGGATGGAAGGAATATACATTCTTGAGGCTTTCTCCAGATTTTTTGACTGCAATTGAAAGGGAGCTTGTGTAGCATGTCAGCCCCTGCCACACAGCAGAAAAAAACATCACCAAAAGAGACACGCTGTGGCGGGATCACACAGATCCCGAGCCGCCGCACCGTTGCTCCCCGGCACGATCAGATGCCGGGGAGGAAGCCACCGATGGGGGGCCGAGGCAGCCGGCTGCGCATGTGTGCGCATGCGCAGTTTGGCCAGGAGCCTCGGATGCACCGGCAGAAGGATGCGCCAGCGATCCGACGGCCGCGCTTGCCGCAGCCTTTCTGGTAAGTCCACCTCTGTAGGTGGTTTGTTTTCATTGCGGGTTTTCGGCCTGAAGGGCCAGATCGGGGACGGGTGCGCACTGCTTCCCAGATGTTGCGGTGGGATCGCGCCCCTTTGCTGCGCCCCCGATCCGTCCCTCTTCCGGCCCTAAACCTCCCGTGTGACCGGGGCCGTCAGTGAGCTTAGTGGCTTCTAGTTTCCTTGTTTTTTAGTTAAGAGGGCAAACACATTCTTTCATTTCTTTTTTCTCAGTAATCCATTTCTTTATTCTTTTATAATATTTGTTTAATTAAATGTTATATAGCCAGTAGCATTTCAAGGGTACCAGCTGAAAGGATCAGCAGCTAGTGAAGTCATGACGAGAGAAACCTGTTCACATCTTAGGTGGGATCCATACGCTGATTTGGCAGAATCTGAAAGCATGGCAAGGGACGATTGCTTTTTCTCAGATCAGGAACTGAGCAGCCCTGTGCTCCCTGGTTTCTTTAAGGTAAAGTGAGGTTTATTTTAGACAGGTTTTAAAAATCTGTGAATGTGTTATGAAAATGAATAAATCAAGCCATAGAATACACGGAATGCAAACTTATTGGAGATACTGTAAGTCAGACTAAAACATCGCATATGCCTTAATAGAGCCATGTCAAAACTTAAGGAAAGATTTCCTATATTTGTTTTGACCAGTTTCCTAAAACATCAGGCATGAATTTGTTTATGAACACAATTCCCTTGCAGCCCCTATTCATTGAACTCTGTCTCTTAAAACATATCTGCTGCCACCTCTTTTTCTTCCTTCATATTCTTCCTCAAACCTCACCTTCCATGTAGCTTTTGGCTTAACCTTTAGTCTTTGCTCCCAACTGGAACCAAGCTAAGGTGTGTGTAACTGCCCATTAACATTTTATTTTTCTACATTGGCTCCCCCTTACTTTCTCCTTCTGTTGTGTTCCCCATTACCAGTTTCAAACCACAGTTTTCTCAAGGTTAAAAAACTGTTTAATTTTTGCTTACAGAAGTTTCTAAGGTGCACACTGATAGCACCTTATAAATAATAATATAAATCTAAATTTATTGTTATACTTACAGTGCAATCCTAAGCACAGTCACACCCTTCTTGGTCCATTGAAATTTGTTTAGGATTGCAGTATTAGTTTAGCAAATGTTCAAGTAAAAAACCCAATGATAGCTCATGCCTAACATGTGCTACTCTGTACTTTAGTGTATTAACCACTATACCAGTGTGATATCACAAACTGAGGCATTAGAACAGGTGCAATTAGCTAGATGATTTCTAAAAATCAGAGAAAATCTAATTACAACAGGTACATTCAGTGAGTAGCCGTGTTGGTCTGTTGCAGCATAACAAAGTTGGAGTCCAGTGGCACCTTTAAGACCAACAAAGTTTTATTCAAGGTATCTGAAGACGTGTGTGCACATGAAAGCTTATACCCAGAATAAAACTTTGTTGGTCTTAAAGGTGCCACTGGACTCCAACTTTGTTCTACGACAGGTACAATTAGCTAAATGATGGGGAAAAAATCAGAGAAAATCTAAAAATGTGCATTTGGCCTCCATTTATAAGCATTGTGTTTTTATCTATTACTTTTTCCTCCATTTTTTTCCAAAGAGCTCAGCCAGCATACATAGTTCTTCTGTCCTCCATATTATTCTCAGAACCTATTATATTATCCTATGAGATAGGTGAATCTAAAAGAGAGTGTTACTCAGTGAGCTTCCTAATTAAATGGGGATTTGAACCTAGGTTACCTTACCCCTAGTACCACACTGGTTCTCCTGCACTTTTTCATTTGTTAGAAATGTAAGCTACAATATGGGACTAAATCAGCCCTTGCATGTTTGGCAGGCATGGCACTTCTGCTCATGCAGGGAAGGGGAGCCTAAACATGAATCCCCTACTTATACCGGTATCTGTGCTGCATTCTTGATTGTTCCCAGTGGTAGTATTTTGGGAGGCTTAGAGCACCGCAACAAGAAAAGAGCGGCTGGAAAGATCCATTCTAAGGACAGGTCCCACTCATGGCTCTTTCAATCCAACCTTCTGTTTTTAAGGAAACTAAGGACAGTTTTTTTTTCCAGAGGCAGATTGATAAATTATTCCTTCTAACTGAAAAACATCACGTTTGCCTCTATCTTTACTTACGTTGTCATACAATATGGGCAGGGGGCAGTTATACAGAAGTATAAATATTTTTGCCTCCTTTACTGTTGTAACTTTACAAATCGTTTGTGTACAGATGTTACCAACACAAGAGAGTCCTTCCTGCCCCTCTGAATGCCATTTTTTCTCAAGTCCAAGCAGTATAGACCCAACTGCAGACATGAAAGAACAGGAATTCCTGCTATCCAGAATTTTTCCACTGCCCACGAACAACACAAAAAGCTTTTCCAGTAAGGTTTTATTTGTAATTTCTGTAAATAATATTTTGGGTCTGAAAAAATAGCATAAGTAAATTATTTCATAGTGTGGCCCACTCAAAAGTCAGGTTACAAGTCTTGGATGCAAAAGTCTCAAACGTTTTATGGTCCTACAGTAAACATGTATCTTCTGAGCATTCTGAACCCAATCTTGCTATGAATTCAGTGTTTTTCTTGGTATTTAATATTACACTTGGTACTGAACATTTAACCCTTTATACGGCTTGTCAGGGAACATCAGAAATAGGACGACTAAACCACTCATTAAACTGAAGATTAGTGGTCTGAACATGATTTTGACCCTAAAAAGCAGCTGTGGGGAAGGGGTATTCAGATTGAGGTCATGGGGCTGGGTAAGGGGGTGCAGTGATCTCTTTCCCCATGTGCCATTTTCCCAATAAAACTGCACCCTCCTCTCCAGAATTCATTTAGCCCCAATAGAGAAAGAAGAAAAGGAAAGACATGAACTTCATCATAAGGCATTGTACACAGCCAGTACTGCAAGGGCATGCAGTGGTCCCATTCGCATGTGCATCCAGATTGAGGTAGCTTTTTCAGCTAATTTGTTATGCTTACATTGTACTACTTTTCTTTGAGGGAAATATGTTCTAGAAGGAAATGAAAGTACAACTGAAACCACGTGAAAGTTAAGGTCTGAAGAAAAAGTGCCAAATATGTATATTATCGGTGTTACTCATAGAGTTTTGCATTGATATATGCAAGGACTTGCGCTGCAACTTTCTAAAACTCTGCTTTATAGGAATGAAGGAATCTATCTGCTCAGTGGATGACAGTGTGCATACAGGCTTACCTACTCATAGAAAACAAACTCCAGTTGTAACTTTACCAGTTGATGAAGTGCTTCCTGACTCAGAAGTTTATTCCAGTCTAATGGCTTGTGAGCAAATGTCGCCTTTTGGTTTCCCAGTAGTCAACATGTACAACAAGTCAAAAATGTTAGGCCCTGAGGACAGGATGTGTGAATCAGTTGTGGATGAAAAACGTTTAGGAGAAAGACAAGAGGTGCTTATACAGTCTGCATTCCCTAATGTGTCTGAACAAAAGAGACAAAGCAAGTGGCAGAAATACCAAAATACCACTCATTGTGACTTGGGAACTCCAAACAGTAGTGAAGTGGTCATGACTGATGACTTCGAAGCTGAGAATGTCTTGGGAATGCCACTTGATGATACAGGAGAGGGTCAGAATGATGCTGTCAATAAAAGCCCTCCAGACTTTGCGCATCTGCAGATGATAAAAAGCATGCTTTGTAAACAACACAGAAACTTTAGCAGCCAAGATTCTGTTTCAGAAAAAAAGCAACGTTCTGTGCACTTAAGTCCAATTTTTTCCACTGAGGAAGCACCAAAGGTGTTAGGTCAGCTGAACCACAATAACAGAAGTAGACATGCCAAGGTAAGTAACTGTTCCAAAAAGTACTGGGAAACAGATCTTGGCAAAGCAAGAAAAACAGTTGGGAATATTTAGTACTCCTCATCTAATTGTTAGATTAGTGATATATTTATAGCAATAATATATTATTGTTCTTACAATGCTGACGTATTCTTAACAATTGTGTTGAGGTGTTCATGGCAGGCTGTTCCAAAATTTTCTAACTGGATTTGTGGTTTCATTCAAAATGTCATAAAGGAAGTCAACCACAATTTTGTGTTTTATTGTCTGCAGAAATGTTATTCTATCATGGAACAGTTTCCCAATTCCGGCTTGGATCCCACCAACCATCATCAGCAGAAACAAGTGGGACCCAGGTAGACAAAAGGCCACATGGTTTAGGGGACTGTATTGAGAAGAGAGAAAACAGTGAAATCACTCTTTTCTACAATAGCAGATTTACTGTTGAAACAGGGAGTGATTACCCACCTTCTCTGCATCTCCCTTTCCCCATGTGTGGCTCTTTTGTCCATTCAGGTGCCACCACTCTTAAGAATAGCCTTCCTCAGGGTTGAAGACGATTGCTGAAGAAAATGGGGGAAATCTGCATCCACCAGCATCTTCTGCTAATGGGTTGGATCTGAGTCCGTGTTTTTCATCTGCATAATAAAGCATTCTCTGTAGTCAAAGGCTTTCACAGCCGGAGTTCATTAGTTGCTGTAGATTTTCCGGGATGTGTGGCCGTGGTCTTGGCATTGTATAACCTGGTTCTACAATGCCAAGTTCTACAATGCCAAGACCACGGCCACACATCCCAGAAAATCTACAGCAACTAATTCTCTGTAGGTTTCCCAGGCCCATGCTGGAGGTGGGTGCTCTCCACTGCCACTCAGCTGGCTGGCAGAGGAAAAAAATGGTGCCGGAACAGTGGGGACATCAGCAGCATCCTACACAGGAACTGATGTCAGCACATCACCCAATAAATCCCCTCAATACTCGTAGTAACTTCTTTGGACAAATTATGTAATTATTGAAATGAATAAATTTTGGGTAAGAGTCTGGGCTTTTCAAATCCGCTAACAGTGCAATCATAAACAGAATTATACCCTTCTTTGTTGATTTGGATGGACTAATGTGGATCTAACTCTGCTTAGGACTGCACTGTAAATGCTGCAGTATTAAACTCTGGGGTATTAATAATGAACTCAATATGGTGTAAATTAGCACAGTGAGTGGTTAGAATGTCAGACTAGGATCTGGAAGATCCAGTTTCAAATCCCCACTCTGCCATGGAAGATCACTGGATGATCTTGGGCCAGTCACCCACTCTCAGCCTACGGTACTTTACCCTCACGTTGTTGTGAAGATGAAAGGAAGGAGAGGAGAATAATATAAGCTGCTTTAGAGCCCCATTGTGGGGGGAAATTGCATACAAATGAAGTATAATATAAATAAATTACAGCAATAGGTAACCAGAATCCTAAGGAAATGTTATGGATGTTGGCATATATGCACCCCAGGAAAATGGACTCCTTACGTGCCAATAATTACCAAATTAGGCTTTTTCCCCCTCTGTCAAGTCACAGCTGATTTATGACTACCCCTAGGGTTTTCAGGGCAAGAGGTAGTTTGTCATTCCCTGCCTCTGTGTCCCAACCGTGGTCTTCCTTGGAGCTCTCCCATCCAGACACTAACCAGGGCCAACCCTGTTTAGCTTCCAAGGTTTGACAAGATTGGGCTAGTTTGGGCTATCCAGGTTAGGGCTTGGAAAATATTAATTAGATTTTTATGCAGCTTGCAGTGAAAACTTGTCTTCCAAGTAACAGGAGTGAAAATCTTGATACAAGTTGCAATTAAAGCACCATACAAAATATTCCTGTTTGAGGGGGTGATATTCTCATGTGAACCAGAGAGGTGCCTGGTGGAGGGAAGGCCAGGCTACTGTTTGTCTTCTCTGTCCCTATCAATGGCAGTTGAAATCTTAATGAATATCGTATGTTTTTTGAAAAGATTCCTGCAAATTTGATATTAAATGTTTTAAAAAAATTTTGTACAGATTTGGAATGTATTTCAGTTTATGAAATTATTAAGACTAATCTTCATAAGTAAGCAAGGCCCACTTGCAAAAGCAGGGAACTGGCGGGGGCAGGACAAGAGAGAGATATCATATAGATAATGCACATCAATGTATAGGTATCAGCATCAGATTAATTCAGGTCAACAGGAGAATTCTGTATTTTATAAGCAGTTGTTTTAGTGCAGACATCTATTTCCATGAATGCCATGAATCAAGTTCTAGATCCACAGGGAGGATCGATGCTGCTGCTTGAGTCAGTGCTCCAGTAAAGCATACCTGAATTATGCATGCCTGCAGGCAAAGAAAACAGGATTTTGCACCTTTTGCTTTTTTCCCCCCCAGAATGTCTCTGAGCTGTTTTTCCCCAGTGCAGACATAGTGAATTGCACTGATCTTCCTAAGAGGCAAATGTGTATCCCAGCTGAGTTTCAATCTTCTGCACTGTATAAGCAAGTTTTCACTGCTGCTTTGATAGGTAAGGCTTAATAATGTATCTCACAATTGTTCTAATAAATTCACTGTTGGTTATTTTTGTGTTTAAAATTGGTTTTTTGAAAACTACTTATCTGTTTGCAATTTACTCTTTATTTCTCATTTTTGTGTAAAGAACATTTGAACATATTGCTTTTTGAGCTGTCACAAAGGCTACATAAAGCTCTTGGGAAAGTGGATATATCTTTCTGTACTTCAGCAAAAGGAGGGCAGGTGCAAGAAAATTCTGCACCACTCTGTAACCACAAGATTGCAGCCAAACTTGTTATGGTTAAAAAAGAAGGTCGAAACAAGGTACTTTTTTCTTCTTCCCATTTAGTTAAACTTCTAGGGTTTTTGTACATCAGATTAATGGCTGTTTTAATAAATACAAGATAAAGAATTGATGTAGATTATTTGCTACGTACTGGTTTTTGTTTTGTGGGTAGCCTACCTGTCCAATAGGGGCTGCGGTGGTTAAGATGCTGAACTGCAGGCTGTGGAAGGTCGGTAGTTCAGGAGTTTAAGACCCGAGTGCCGCATGACGGAGTGAGCTCCTGTCTCTGGTCCCAGCTCCTGCCAACCTAGCAGTTCAAAAGCAAGAAATTGCAAGTAGATAAATAGGTACCACTTTGGTGGGAAGGTAACAGCGTTCCGTGCGCCTCGGTGTCTAGTCATGCCGGCCACATGACCAAGGGAACATCTTTGGCTCTTCGGCTTGGAAACGGAGATGAGCACCGCATCCCTAGAGTCAGATTCAGCTGGCTTTCAAGCAAGGGAAACCTTTATCTTTACCTGTCAAATATTCCAGTCTGCAAAAATATTGAATTTAATTAGTACTCTGATGGGTTTTCTATTCTATCATAATAGCCAGAGTTTCTAATACCCTATTACTTCTTTAATTACTTGGAACATTTTTAAGTAAGTTGGGTTAAATCAGGAAAACAATGCAAAATTGGTGGCATGTGCTGTAGCAGTCTCTATTCTGGACTAATCTGACTAAATGAAAATGGGTAAAGTTCATAGTGTGGTTAATTGTGAGGAAGGGCTCTCCCTGTAGGAAAGACACTAGGAAAGACTCACAAAGGGCAGGATCTCATTTTCCCTCTTCCTCTGTCTTTTCAGCTTTGGCTCCCTCTGCATCCTTCTTCCCTCTTCTGTCCCAACCAACTACCTACCACCATCTCCTGTTCCTCCCCCTGGCAGCCTCTGCCCCTCCCTCAGCCACCTTTCCCTGCTGCCCTCCTTTCGGCTTTCATTCTTTGTTTCTCCCTCCAAATTTTACCTTTCTTAGTCTGCCTCTCTCCCCCTCCCCCAAGCTGACACTAACCGAGTCTTGGATTTCTCAGCAATGTTATTTTATTTATTTATTTATAATTTCAATTTATATATTGCCCTTCTCTGAATTCAGAGATCAGGGTGGTTAGCAACATAGTACTATACAATTTAAAATCCAGGAGATAAAAACAGCTAAAAACAACATCAGATGGCGTAAAAAACAAATTTACAGATTGCATCACTGTCTTGCAATGAGCGAGACAAAGCAGAGGGGAGGAGGGGAAGGAAGTGCCTGACAGGATGGTACATGCTGCTGTCCTCAACCAAAAGCCTGACGGAACATCTCTGCCTTGCATGTCCGGCGGAACTGCACAAGTTTCCACAGGGTGCAGATGTTATTTGGCAGAGAGTTCCATCAGGTAGGAGCCAAGGCTGAAAAAGTCTTGGCTCTGGTCGAGGATAGCCTGACATCTTTGGGGCTAGGGACCACCAGTAAGTTGTTCTTAGCAGAGCATAAAGCCCTTTGGGGGACATGCCAGAGGAGGTGATATCGGAGATATATGGGTCCCTGACCACTCAAGGCCGTAAACGTCAGTACCAGAACCCTGAACCTGAGCCGGTACTCCACTGGGAGCCAGTGCAGCTGATGCAGCACAGGTTGAATGTGTGCTGTCCGTGGTGCTCCGTCAGAAACCATGCCGCCGCATTCTGGACCAGTTGGAGTTTCCTGATCAGTCTCAAGGGTAGGCCTTGCAACCCTCAAAATGTCTGCTGAGATTTCACAACACAGTCTCACAAAATCTGTGACACATTTTTCTTAAAGAAGCAGTTTAAGCGGTCAAAGTTTTCCTGTATTTTTTATTTCATAATTTTCTGTAAATCTGGGTCTTTCCCATACTTGTAGAACAATCCCCATTCCCTTGTCCATCCCTGGCCTCAGTTTGTGTATTTATTGATCCACACTGTGTGGCCCAGTTCAGAATTAGATATGAAGTTGATTGCCTTACTGATAAGCCTTTTGGATTGCAGTGGTTGGAGTGGCTTCTTCATTCTAGCCAGGCTGTCTCATTCTGATGCGTTTCACATGCTTACACGTACAGGTCAGAGAAAATTCTGCACCTTTCCTGGCAGATCAGTTCTACATTCCTAAGAATAATATTCTTGTGCTTGAAGAGCCAATCCATTCCACATCAACAGGAGATTCATGGTATTTTTCAAAGTGAAGACTGACATTTTAACTAGTTATATTGATATGGGCAAACTGTTCTGTATATTTTAGCTGAGTGTTTTAAAATATACTTGAATGGTATGTATTCTATCATAGGGTCGCCTTTTCTATGCCTGTGATGCTCCAAAGGCTGAGCGCTGTGATTTTTTCAAGTGGCTTGACGATGTAAATCCGGGACAGTTCAAAAGTACACCTAGTGTTGCGTTTCATGATCTGAAGAGTATCGGAACCTATTTGAGGAGTCAGAACATTTTTCTCCATGAAGAATGCCAACTTTTGGTGAGGTGTGTTGGAATGTTAAGTAAACTGTTACTAATACTGCATGTATGAATGGAAATGGGGCTAACAGCTAAACAAACTTGTTGATGTTACAATACCTGAACACTGTGTTTAGAGAAATGTTTTGAGGGCGGTTCTACGAGGTAATTACAAAGGCCTGTGTGCAATCACAGATTTCATTTTTTTTCTGTCATATTACCAACAATGTCATGTTGCCAATTCTCTTCTTTTGTAAGACTGCCTTTGTGCTCCATTCTGTTTCTGGGGGTCCACTGAATCAACTAGGATTTGAGGGGGAGTGAAAGGCTACAATGACAGGCTGAGATCAGCAAATTCTCTTCCATGAGATAATCAGCACTTGCATATCATCGTATAATTCCTGCAGGTGGTAACGTGCACTTCCTCTTTTGGAGGAGTCTTCCCTATGCAGAACACTCCTCCCATGCCCAGAAGGGTGCTTTCGGGTCCATGTTCTCAGACAGGCAATATTAGGCTCCACAAATCACAAAATCATAGAATCATAGAGTTGGAAGGGATCTCCATTGTCATCTAGTCCAACCCCCTGCACAATGCAGGAAAGTCACAAATACCTCCCCCCTCCACACCCCTAGTGACTGCTGTTCCATGCCCAGAAGATGACAAAAAACCTTCCAGGATCTCCAGCGAAACTGTCCTGGAGAAAAATTGCTTCCTGACCCCAAAGTGGTGATCGGCATTACCCTGGGCATGTAAGATATATCAAGATTGTTTTAATTTTAGATTGTTAATTTTAATTATTTTATAATACTACTTGTATTTGTTTTCTTTATTCTGCTCTTCGTTCATCTCTATTGGTTTCAGTGACAAAATGCATTTTAAGCTGTAACTTTGTTTCCTTGTTCAAGTGGAATGAAATGTACTGTAACCAGGGTATTCTGCCTCCAAATTTTAGACAGATAAGAGGGTCCCCATTGTACGTGCAGTTAAATTTTTCACTTGGACAGTGAACACAGGCAGAAATTTGGTAACCAAAGAAAGCTGTTGGACACAAATAGGGGATAGTCTCTATGAGCTCATCCATTCATTTTTGAAGTTGCTACTTCACAGCTCAGTGAAGCGAGGTGCAGACAGGAGTGCGGGTCTATTTTTAAATAAATAGAATGGAAGTGAGCCATGGTGTGTGTGTGTGTGTGTGTGTGTTACTCCTCTAAGCACCAGATCAGAACAATGTGAAGTATGGGCAGGGGGACAGTGCATTTTCTTTCACCCATGTATTTGCTCCAAAAAGGCATGGCTTTCTATACATAAGAATGTGAGGTGCTGTCTCTTTTCCCATCTGGTGCTGATAGCTGGGGATGGGTTTCATTTGAAATGGAAAATGGCATGAGGGAGAAGGAAGGTGTAACTTCCACAATCCAGTCCCTTTCTACAGCCGTTTTAAAGAATCATTAAAGAAGCCTAAATCTATCACATCACTGATCTTTTGGTCTGTCTGTCTGTCTCTCTCTTTGTGTTACTGTGTTACATGAAGACAGCACAGCTATTGATGCTGATTGCCAGCATGATGAAATGAACAAGCTGCTTAGAAATGTGTTGTCTCCCGTGTCTCGGCTCAACCCTTGCCCCTCGTGACTGATAGTATCAAGCCAGGTCAGGCTAGTTCACTGGGTCCAAGATATAACAGTGTCCCTCTTTGGGAGGACATAGTTCCAATCACTTTGAAAGAGAAGGTCATGAGAGCCCTTCTGTCAAAGGAGTCCCCAGAAATGAATAATAAATAATGAATAAGTAACTACTGCCTTGTGGCCAATATTGCATTCTTGGTTAAGGTACTCGAGTTGGAAGTGACTACGCAGCGTCAGGTAGTCTTGGAGGAGACAGATTATGTAGACCCGTTTCAATGTAGCCTTTGCTTGGGACAGCAACAGCTTTGGTCACCCTGACTGATGATCCTTGCCAGGGGAATGACGGGGCAGAGCATCCCCGTTGATTCTCCTGAATTTCTCAGTGGCTTTTGATATCATCAACCATAGTACCCTGTTGGAGAGGCTGACTGGGCTGGGAGTGGGGGACACTGTGCTTTGGTAGTTCTGCTCTTACTTGACTAACCAATTCCGGAAGGTAGTGCTGGGGGACTGCCACTCACCACCATGGCATTTATGCTATGGGCTTCTTCAGGGATCCATCTTGCCCCCATACTGTTAAACATCTTTGTGAAACTACTGTGACAGTTCAGCTGGGGATCTAGAATGAGATGTCAGCAGTATGTGGATGACACCCAACTAATTCTGTTTAAGAGCTGAGTCAAGTGCATCTGTGGATGTCTTGAGCAGATGCCTGGAGAAGTTAATGGGATGGATGAGTGCCAGTAAATTGAAGCTCGGTGCAGGCAAGACTGAGATGATGTTGGTCAGTGAGAATCTGCTCAAGGACTGAGGAGTCAGCCCGTCTTGGAGGTTGTTGCACTCCCTTTGAAGGTGCAAGTTAATAGTTTGAGGGTGCTGCTGGAGCGTGGCTTATTGCTGGAGGCTCAGGTCTCCTCTGCAGTACATAGCACCTCTAGTCAGCTTTGGCTTAAATGCCAGCTATGGCCCTTCCTCAGAAAGCACAATCTGCACAAGATGCTCCATGCTCTGATCACATCCAGGTATGATTTTTGTAATGAACTATACATTGGTCTGCCTTTGGAAACTTCCACTGATCCAAAATGCAGCAGCCAGGCTGCTCCTGAGGGAATGATACAGGTATAGTACCACCCATATGCTAAAAAAATCTGCACTGGCTTTCCATTTAGTTCTCAGCACAATTCTAGGTGCTTGTTTTTTTTTTTTTTTTTAATCCCCCGAAGGGTAGCTTTATTGATTTTTTATTACACCTACGTGACTACAAAAAGGAAAGAAAAGAGAGGTAGAAAAAATGGAAGGGGGGGAAAAAAATAACAAACTAAAATAACAAACCCCAGGATACAAACAGTATAAAGAAAGAAAACCCACACTATAACTAAAAACCCAAGAAAGTAGGGTCATTAACAGTTAGTATGCAGTTAGTTATAAAGATTAATGCTTTCATTAAGTCAAGGAATTTAGGAGATTAGTTAGTCCATTTTGTTGTATATCTAATTTCTTCTCAGTGTGCACATAGACTTCTTCCAGCTCATCCATAAGTCTTTTTAGTTCATAAGTGCTATTTGGCAACTCTTAGCCGCAAGTCATATGCTTCTCTGGCCGTGCCTCCTTCTGCTCCAAGTAGGTCTCTGTCCGTCTCTTCCAGGTCAGCTGCCTGGCCTCCTCCGTCTTGCTGCTCTTCCTCTTTCTGTCCGAAGAATTGCTTCAACCATTCTTCTGCTTTTAACACCGAGTCGATTTTTTCTCTTTTGTCTCTATATTTGAATTGGACCCCTTCTGGAAAAAGCCAGGAGTATTGAATTTGGTTGATCTGAAGTGTTGAGATGAGTTCTTTGTACGCTTTTCTTTTCTGTCGAACCTCAAATGGAACGTCCTTAAGGACCCTGATACTTGCTGATCCCATTTGCAGGGGTTTGTCTGCTGTTGCTTTGAGAATATCATCTCTTGTCTGTCGTCGGAGAAATTTGACCACGATCTCGCCCGGCAGTTTGTTTTGCTTAATATATTTAGAGTAAGAACGATATGTCACTTCTATCTCTGCATGCGCTTCAGCCGTTGCAATGCCGAGCGATAGAGCGATTAGCTCAGCTGCCACATCTTTCAAAATTTCTCCTGTCGTCTCAGCCACCCCTTGGAATCTAAGGGTTTTATTCGCTTTGTCCATTTGTAGGTTCAATAGCTTCCTTTCGTGTAGATCCTGCTTTTGTTCCATCAGACCAACTCTTTTCTTCAGCTTTTTAGCATCATGTGTGGTCTCTTTAAGTTTTTCATCAGTTTGGATCGATTTTTTCACAAGCTCGGTGATCTGCTGTTGCTGTTTTGCCATGCTCTGGTTTGAGGCAGCAATCAATTGGTTAAGGCCATCGAGTCTTTCATGAATGGGCCGAAGCAGCTCTGTTAGTGTGGAGAAAACATCTCCTTCCTCCACTCTCGGACTTTGAGAACCACGCCCCCCTCTTACTCCTCTCCCTCGGACGCCGGCCATTTTCCGCTTTGTTTATACTAAAGAGTGCTTTTTCACACTTCTTCAGCAAGTGCTGGTTTATCCGCAAAAAACAGCTAAGTCTCTGGCACGCTTGAGTGATTAATTGTCTTCTCCCCCTCCCCGTCTCTTTAAATCACAGTTCGGTTTGTTTACGTCTGGGATTCCTCCCGACGCCGCTGAGGGTGGGGGGGGGATCGGAACTCACTTTTAAAGCTTCTTCGCTCGTCTCATTCTCCAGTTCCTTGACAGTCTGATCACAGACTCCTTTTAATCATGCTTCATTCGCTGACCCGCTTGCTTGTCCCGATCGGCATTCAGCTATGCTCGGTAAAAACCGAGCCTCTCAGGGGGTGGACCGAATGGGGCAGGGAGGAGCGCCTCAATTCCCCGGCTTCAAGCCGTGGAAGAGGTCGCCCCTCAAGCGCCCCCGGCTTGGAGCCCCACACTGAGGCTCACCTGGGGGTGCCACTTGAGGTGACACCCCTCCAGCTAGGTGCTTGTTTTTAACATAGGTAAAGGTAAAGATTCCCTTGCTTGAAAGCCGGTCGAATCCGACTCTAGGGTTGCGGTGCTCATCTCCGTTTCAAAGCCGAAGAGCCAGCATTTCCATGGTCATGTGGCCGGCATGACTAATCACCGAGGCGCACGGAACGCTGTTACCTTCCCACTGAAGTGGTACCTATTTATCTACTTGCAATTTCTTGCTTTCGAACTGCTAGGTTGGCAGGAGCTGGAACTAGAGACAGGAGCTCACTCCGTCATGCGGCACACTCGGGTCTCAAACTGCTGAACTACTGACTTTCCACAACCTGCAGTTCAGCATCTTAACCACTTGAGCCACCGCAGCTCCACATGTTTTTAACATATAAGGCCATAAATGGACTGGGGCCTGGACCCTTGACAGACTGCATCCTCCCATACTATCCAACCTGCCAGTTAAGATGCTTTTCACAAGCCCTGGTCTCTGTGCTGCTGGTCTGCAGAAGTGATCAGTTGGCTAACAGAGACAGGGCTTTTTCAGTGGTGACACCTAACCCATAGAATGCCCTTCCCCTTGAAGACATAACCTGGTGTTCACTCTATTTTAGGTACCAGGAGAACATTTCTTTTTATTCAGGCTTTTAACTAAGGGATTGGTTTTTTAATATTGTTTTGTGATCTGCTGTAGTTAAAAAAAGTCTTCTGTGTTTAACAGCTTCTTTTTATGGTCTAGCTTATATTTAGGGGCTTGCATTTTTGCTCTGCTTTTTTCCTAATTGTTTGGTTTTAATGCCTCTTTGGTTTTATTGTATTTGAGTTGTGAGCCACCTCAAGCAGGTCTCTGAAGAGGTGGCATAACATTTTTTCTAGGTGAAGAAATAAATTACCTTCACTCCTGCTTAATCTGTAGCTCCCCCCCCCACACACACACACACCTGTATGCCAGCATGTGCCAGCCAAACATTTGCCTCTGTCTGGCTAGCAGCAGATGCCACGAAGGAAGGGAGGTGTGACATTTGCTTCCATCTCCTATCAGGATTCATTGCTGCCCTGTACATATGTCAGCATGTGCCAGCAAAACATCCCTCTGCCTAGGAGCCACTACTCAAGAAATAACAGAATAGCAAGTAAACAGGCCTTGCTATACCTATATAGACTCAAAGCCCCACCCCTCAAGTTCTTGAACCGGGATGGTCATTGCAAACCATGGAAAGACCTATCAATGCAATCCTCTTTGGTGCAGTCCATGTGTAACTCTGCTGTTTTAGGTCTGACTCCATAGCCTAATATGTAACTAGTTAAATGGTTCTTTATCGGAATTTCTTGATATTAATGAGCAGGCTGGTAATGGTTTTATAATGCCACTAAAATAGAATAAAAGCAGTTGCAAAAGTAAGAGCACATGTACCACATACAAAAAAAGTTATTTATTTAAGTAACTATAAATATCATTAAGTGTTCATGTCCACTGTTTGTTGGTTTATTTTTCCCTAGGAAAGCCTTTGATATTCAAAGGAAACGATTTAGTAAACTGAAGAAATTTAATATTGCAAATGCTGAGTTTGACTGTGATGGTAGGAACAAATTATATCTGAAGCTGAGCAGAAAAGAGCACTCTTCCATGTACAGCAAAGGTTGGTGAACTTGGTTCTCTGTGAAATTATGCAAGAGGAATCTGAAGTAACTCTTATAAAATTGAAGACTTGCTGTTTTGAAGTGTGAATATTGTGTGTGTACATGTTCAGTTGACTTTCACAGTCAAAGGGCGACATATTAAATATTTATGCCTATATGATAAGGACCCTCTTACTTTGCTTTGCCTCAGCGTAGACAGGATTTTGTTATCTGTAGTGCCTTCAGGACTTGGGAATTTGTAGCTTTAACCCACATTTGATGGAACACATCTTCAGTTGCATCCTGTTTTCCAGACGATGCCTCCATATATTTGAAATTCGACCCTTAGCACTCTGCTACAAAAGGAGGAAATTTGAACTTTACCTGTGAAATACTTATCTGAGCTGGTTCTGCCCCAAGGCTTGTCTGCTAGAAATTGCGACAAAGGAACCCAGGCTTTAAAGTTTTCATCAAGTCTGCCCTTTGAGAAGCCAGGCACTCAAGGGTACTGTTTTCAGTTTTCCACCTGAACTGGTGGGGCAAACCACAGGCCATCCAAAATTGGCAGTCTTCAACTTTCTGATTGGTCTAGCAATTTTCAGACATTTACATCACTACAAGCCCACACTGGATATCATAGATTTGTCAGATGAATGAATTAGGTTGACACTATATTAAAATCTTTCTGATGTCATGGATTTTTTTGTCCTTCAATTTTAATTAAATGAAAAATTATTTGAAATCCCTTTTCCAATCAATTTTGTGCAACTTTTCCCCTTGCCCTTTCATTCATCCTATATTTATGGTATAACCTGCATGGCAGAATATTATACAGCCCTTTTTAAAGGAACAATATGTAAGAATTAAATATATTCCAAATCTTGGAGGAAAATCTCTGCAATTTGAATAGCAACCTTGAGAATACACATTTAAGATGAAACCAGATAAAATTTACCCAGCACAACTTGGATAAAGAGGTGCAAAGCATACAGAAATCTTTTTGAATAAGCAAAAGGAAGAGCCATTTGAGTTGGAGGAAGGCTTCTTGGGGGATGGTTGGATCCACCTTAGTTTCTTCAAAACAACTATTCCAGATTTAATTTTTCTCATTGCAGAAGTTAGCAACTTATTCTGCTAAAACTAACCTTTTACTGTCTTGGTAGATGATCTTTGGGTTGTTTCCAAGACCCTAACGTTTGAACCCTTGGACACTTTCATTGCCTGCAGTGTTTTCTTTGGCCCATCCTCTAACAGTGAAATAGAGCTGGAACCTCTCAAAGGCTACAGCCCCTCAAACTGGCATTCAAATAGTAAGTTTCTCATGAGAATTTTTTCTGTGTGAAGTGTTGTGGTAATCAACATTTCAGCATAGCCACTAATTCTTTAATATACTAATCACTGCATTATCAACTTATGAGTGAAAAAGTCAGCAGTGTTGTCATATTATTTAAGCGTTAACAGAAGGGAATGAAAGAACTGAGAGACATGGAAATAAACAAAATATGATGCTTGATATAGCAGATAATTCTGAATGTATCATCAAGATGAACTTTAAAACTGAATGGAAGTTACTAAAGTAACCTACAACTGTCATTACTATTTACTAGTGTCTTCTCGGTGCTATACATTTTTGGCCTTTCCCCCAAAATAATCTTATTTTGGATTATTGAAACATTATTGATTTTTAAAAACACTGAATATTTTGTAACATCTACTACTCTGAATGTATTATTATATCAGTTGTGCACCTTTTTGAAATTCGTAAGCAGAAATAAAATAAAAAATCATAGTGAGGTGTAGTTTTACGTAGGGCCTTGGTTGATGTCAACATGTCTTTAGCCATGTACCAGCATTTTTAATCTGGGTATTATCAGTGCACAGATATAGGAAGAGGATTACTCTTGATGCCCCCTCCCCATATGATGACTTTTCTACAGAGCCAGCATTGGGACATCCAAATGAACACTGTAAGACTCTGTAAAAACCAGGGTCCCAGATTGTGCTTTGAGATGAGGAGGTCACAGCCGGGTTTGGGGTGTGTTAAGGTACAAAAAGTCTCTTTAACATATGGAGGGCAGGGGGCCTGACTTGCCACTGTGATCCCACTCTCCAAATCATATGGTGATAGTAAAATTTAGTACATCTGCTAATATGCAGATATAACATTACATGTTTGTTATTTTGGCCCATTAGACAGTCCTATGGCACCTTAAGGATAAAAGATTTATTGTGGCTGTAAGACGAAACTCCATTAGACCATCAGACTACAACAAGAGTCAATGAGTTGGATCAAAAGTCTTCTGTAGCTTCCTCCTCCAACTGCAGGACTCTCACATAATATTACAGTCCTCCAACTCACAGCAGCAGTATTTCACAAAGTAGTGGAGAATGGGGAGGCAGGAAAGAGATCCAGTTCCAGAGTTAGAGATCCATTTGTAGCCCCTTGGATCTATCTTTTTTTCCCTTTGTGTCCACCTTAGCCTAGACCTTTCTGTAGCTGAGTTCATTTGTTAACTCCTATTCCTTCCCTCTCCCAGTGATTGTTCATGCCTTACTAGTTTGTAATGCTAGCACAGAACTCACAACTTTGAGAAACATAGAAGAAAACTTCAGTTCAGCTGCGTTACCAATAATGCAGCACCTGCTCACAAGGTATGTTGACTTCCTTTCTACATCAGTGCATTTTTAATTTTAAATTGTAACATAGTTCTGTTGAAGCGACTTGGCTCTGGAGCCATATTGTGCTAGATAAACTCACCCACCAGCTGGAATTGGCAAGGGGTCAGGGTAAACTAGAATCTTTCTCTGTAACTTGGCTCCCATTTCTTGAATCGGTATGCCATGCTTCACAGATGCCATCCCTGCTAGCTCATTGCCAAACTACACGGCACAATTTAAATAGTAAATGGCATTGGTAGAGTCAATTAGCCTGAAACATAAAAAGAATATGATATAATCAACCATACATCATCATCTTGATTTTTGTTTTTTAAATGCTTATTACCTGTGTGTTTTTCTTTTCCTTGATTAATTTCAGCTTAATCTTTTATTTGGTGCTTTTTAGGCCCTTCAAAGAGGTATCTGGTAGCAACAAAATCAACAAACGAAAATTTAAACCACCAGTCTTAAACACAAATACAATGACTTGTGGACTTCTAAGTCCTGAAATGACAATAAGTCTGGCAAACAAGATGATTCAGACATTTCGGCTGAATAAGGATCAGGCCATGGCACTTCTTCAAATAGGCAACATGATGGCATCTTATCCAATTGATAAAGAAACTGGGAAACAGCAACCCCTCCCTATAACAATAATACACGGTAAATTATTTCTCTATCAATATGTTTCTTGTCTCATGTTATAGAAACATGACCCTCTGTGGTGCAGAGCTTTTCAAAAATGCTATAGCAAAAAGTATATGAAAACACGTGTGTGTGTGTGAGAGAGAGATTCCATCAAGTCACTTCCACTTATGAGGGTACTATAGCCTCAATTTAGTCATTTTACCTTCTAGGGAGAGTTCAGGTTTGATTTGATCTAGAACCCCCTTATTGGTTTTTTTGGAAGGGCATGGTATCTGCAGTACTCTCCTCCAACACCACATTTCAAATGAATCAACTTTCTTCCTGTCAGCCTCCTTCTTTGTCCAACATTCACATCCATACATAGTAATGAGAAATGCTATAGTCTAAATGATCTTGACCTGGGTTGCCTCTTAACACTTCCTTAAACTTAAGGATCTTCTCTAGTTCCTTCAGGGCTGCCCTACCCAGTGTCCGTCTCCTTCTGATTTCTTGGTTGCAGTCTCCCTTTAGGTTGACAATTGAGCCAAGGATTAGAAAATCTGTAGCCATTTCAGTTTCTTCATCATCAACCTTAAAAGTTCTGTAATTCATCAGTAGTCATGACTTTTGTCTTCCTGATAGTTGGCTGTAATATTGCTTGGCACTTTCTGCTTTAACCTTCATCAGTAGTTTCAGGTCTTCACTATTTTCTGCCAGTGGTGTCATCGGCGTATCTCAAACAGTGTTCCTTCTACCAAATTCACTCCATTTTCATCTAAATCTAATCCAGTTTTCCTTATTATATGTTCTGCATATGAATTGAACAGACAGGGAGATAAAATACATATTTGTCTGAAACCTTTGCGAATTGGAAACCATTCTGTTTCTCCATATTCTGTCCTAACAATAGGTATAAGTTGTGCATCAAAACTGTTAGATGTTTTGGCTCACCCATTTCTTTTAAAACCACGCACAGCTTTTCATGGTCCACACAGTCAAAAGCTTTGCTGTAGTCTATGAAACACAAGCTGATTTTCTTCTGACAGTCCCTCATATTGATCCAGTAACCAGTATAAATTTTCAGTATGATCTCTAGTGCCTCTTCCTGTTCTGAATCCAGCTTGAACATCTGGCATTTCTATTTCCACATATAGTAACAGTCTTTGTTGTAAGATTTTGCACATTTCTTTGCTTGTATGACAAATTAATGAAGACAAATACAGCAGAGTGCACTTATCATAACCTCATAATTGTTCTTAGCTACCAAAAGGCCTGCCTAACAAAATGTTTTACAGTTGGCCAATGAAACAGTAATGTATTACCAAAAAACCTCCACTCCTCACCACCCCACTTTAATAAATATTGTGTGAAAGTTTTAGAAAATAATGGTGTGAAATGGACTTGTGTTTGGCTGGAGCTTGAAGATAGCCTGCACAAATTCTGCTTCCATGAAATGTAAAATACGTAATTGAGATGTTAGATTTATTAGTTAAATTCAAGTGTTAACAGTCATGAGCATTATGAAGAAGTTTGGAAATTAAGCATGGCAGGGAATTTGATCATACCAGCATGCCCCATTCCTCCCAAGGTGTCAGTCTGGCTGCTGTCAATGTGTGAGCCTGTTCCATCTGATCATTATAGATCAGTTTTATAGCATACAGACTGTGTACTTTAGGCCTGTGTTTGGCTTTACGTACGTAGGCCCCCATACAATCCTGAAATCTTTTTTTGTTTACGAGAATTACCCAGGATCAACCCTGATCTCATAACTGGAAGATATTCGTATTCCTGTTAAGCAGTCTGTTTCAGAAATCTGCCAACTGTACAAAATGCTTTTTTAGAGAGGCTTACCAAAAATCCAACATAATTTTCTAATTGTGAGCACCCCATGTACTCCTATAGTAGTATTTATACTTGCTGTTTTACTTTCTTTCTGTTGCATCTGTAACATAAAAATTTGCAGCATAATCTTTGCTTGTACCTTAGAGAATAACATAAAAGGGTTCACATTATCTTCAGACTTTTCATTCAAGTAATGTATATACAGTAACCAGTTTTCAGAAAGCTTGTTATCTAATTGGCATCCTCTCTAATCCTGGTCATACTCATAAAACACTCCAGCAATCCTCCAAATTATTTTAAACCCTTTTTAAGGGTGGATGAATTGGGCTTTCTTCAATTAACTTCTACATTAACACTGACTTCATGCATTAATTTTATAACGAACTTGTTCACAACTTGATTGCCAGTAGCTCACAAAGTAGAATTTTTGCTCATAAGACTCCACGCCTTAGAGGGAGCATTGATTTCAGACACAGAGCCAATGTTGTTAGCCAGCTGTGATCTTATCTGATTCCTAATTGGTTGCAGCCAGTTTAGATCACATAAGTACATAAGAGAAGCCAATACTGGATCAGGCCAATGGCCCATCCAGTCTAACACTCTGTCACACAGTGGCCAAAAATACCAGGTGCCATCAGGAGGTCCAGCAGTGGGGCCAGGACACTAATAGCCCTCCCACTACTGGACTCCCCCCCCCCAAGCACCAAGAATACAGAGCATCACTTGCCCCTGAGTCCCTATCTATACCTTGTGGCTAATAGCTACCAATGGACCTCTGCTCCATATGCTTATCTAATTCCCTCATGAAGCCGTCCATGCTTGTAGCCGCCGCCACCTCCTGTGGCAGTGAATTCCATGTGTAAATCACTCTTTGGGTGAAGAAGTATGATGTATGATGGTTTGATGTTGATTTTACCATAGAGTTTTGCCCAAAATCTAGAGCATTGCCCCCAACATCACCAATGTCACTTCCGGGTGAATTAGGCACATCATGTGTGACATCAGTGTTTCAGGGGGAATGGGGGGGTAACTCCTGGAACGTCCCCCCCCCCAATTCCCCACCAGTGGTGAAAGGGACCTGGCAACCATACTCTTCATCAATTTAACGTTGCAATCCTAAACTGAGGTACACCCTTCTAAATCCACTGAAGTCAGTGGTAAGGATTGCGCTATTACTTCTCTAAGAACCAGCTGTTTAACTGTATTCCAAGCCTTTTGTTTTCTCTTTTGCATCTTCTTGGAGACTGAGCCCAGCGTTCAGCTGTTCTGAAGCATCGTAAAAAGCATCTGGCAATGACATGGGAGGCCCAGAGCAAAGAGAGACTGCCTCCTCTTGCCCCAGTACAGGGAGCTTACTGAAGTATTCTTGCATAGTGTAACAATGGCCCCAGTCACACGGGCAGGAAACTGCAGAGGAGAAGCGTGGCTGTTTGCCCTGGGGCAAACTACTGCGCAGTTACGTGATCAGACGTCCTGTGGAGGTACCGTGGAGGTTCCATGGCAAGGGAGAGGTGCCGATCACAGGACAAGCCGGCGCACAACGAAGAAGCGTGCGCTGCGGCAAACTGTTTTTTATTTTTGTGTACATGACAAATGCGCATGCTCCGTTGGGTGCGCATGCGCATCCACAGAGACTTGGACAAGAAAAAAACACCTTATTTGCAAGGGGACATGGGCGGGCGCCGGATGCCACCGGAAACGCGATCAGACGCCCACCCTTGCCCCGCAGTTTCCGGAAACTAGTACCTACAAGGTACTAGTTTTTTGCCACGCAGTTTCGGCTGGAAGCCTCGGTTGAGCCACGGGAGTGCTACGCTTCCCAGATGTGCTGGTGAGATCGCGTCCGGAAACTCCGGCTGTTTTCCGTCTCACTTGTGTGGCTTCTGTTACGTGTGACCGCAGCCAATGATAACCATCTCAGAATGTGTGGAGGTGTTGCATACCATATTTACTCAAAAGGAAGATGTTACACAAAAAGGAAGCTTTCTAGTATTGGACATAACTGTAACTCGTATGTGAGTTTAAGACACACACACACCCCTTTTGATGGCAAACCTGAAAAAACCTTCATTGTTTGATGTACCATTTTGCATTGAAGTCTCTGATTCCAGTACATCCATTAAAGCTTCGGGAAATGGTATAATTCCAGTTAAAATAGCTGCCTGAAAAGTCAGTGTACATCATCCTTATCTGTTTCTGTTAATTTATGGTAGGTGTGTTTGGATCTGGAAAAAGTTATTTATTGGCCATTGTTATCTTGTTCCTGGTACAAATCTTTGAAACTAGTGAAGCGGCTGTTGGCAAAAGGTTAGCACCATGGAAAATACTAATCTCTTCTTCCACTAATGTTGCTGTGGACAGAGTACTGCTGTGGTAAGTAACTCCAATGTGTTTATATAGTCACTGTTCCATTTACAAAATGATTCATTTTTCTTTGTGTTACAATCATATAATTCAGCTATTAAATTTTTACTCTCCACCCCGTGCCTGGAAGTAGCCTAAGATAATTGGTCTTCTCCTTTCCTAGCTCTCATTACTAAGCTAACCTGCTGTAAGGGATATCTAGGAATTACTTTCTTGACAATTTCACAGATGGGTAGTCTGGGTGTGTTCGTGTTTTCCAAGTTTCTAATGAATCTGAGATTGTTGTTTGTTGTCCAAAGTGCCTGATTAGTTCAAAACCTTGACAATTAACTTGGCAGAAGTAACTCAAAAAAATGTTTTCCTTATTTTTTGTTTAGTTTTTTGGGGGGAAATGGTGCATATCTGGAAGGGGAATCTGAGCTCATGAAAACTTCTAATAAGTCAAATTCCTTTTTTCTCACTCTCCTAACCAACACCCCAGTTGCTTTAGAGGCAAAGGGCGTGTTCAGGCTTTGTCTTTGCAGTAGTCATGTAGAGGGGAGAGACTCGCCCACCCTTCTTGCAGTCACTCCGGAGACAAAAAGAAAAGCTCATCTTCCTTTCACCTTAGTATGGTTGTTTCCCTGACCCACTGAGGAAGAACTACTGCCTATACATTGCATTCTACTGCTGTGGATTCCGGGCAGCTTGAGAACAGTGCACATGCCTAACCATAATCCACACTTAGGGGGTTTTGTGGGGGGGGTGTTCTGTCATGTGTCCCTCCATAGTTGATAATTCCCCCCCCCTCAGTAGTTGGTAGAGTTCCCCACCCCTGCACTGAGCACCCTCAGAAGACTCTCATGGACTTTGAAAATAAATGGATAAAGCAAAAAAGAAGTGGAGAGATATGATCAAAATGGAATTATTCAAATTCCTTTAAATAAATTTCAATTCATGCCTTATTGCTTTTTTCCAGCCTACTGGATCTTGGATTTGAAGAATTTATTAGAGTTGGAAGTATTAGAAAAATCGCTAAGCCAGTACTTCCTTATAGGTAACTTTCACACAATCTTTAGACAATTCTTCATCCCTCTAACATTTTAGAGAATTAATTTAATATAGTGTACCATGAAAAATCAACAAGGCCACCATCAGCTGTAAATTCTTTGTGGTTAGATCACAGCTTACATGAACAGAGTAAGTTTACAGAAGCAACTTTTAATCATTTTCTCCTGCCCCAGCAGTCCCCTGCCTCCCCTGGAAAGCCTGCAGCTGAGAATCAGGGAAGCCACATTGTGCAGGAGTGGGGGAGGGAAGTTTCAACAGAATTATGCCTCATGCAGGGCATGCTTCTGTCAGACCTTCAGCAGCAACTTTAAATACTCAGCAGTTTTATTCTGGATTTCATGGCTGGTTGTCTACTTGGGCACAGCCAAGACACTTCCAGTCTGATTCTGATCATTTTTAACCGGAAAATAAATGTCTTTAATCTGAAAATAAATTCCACTGAGTGAAGTGGGACTTAACAGATATGCGTAGTAATACAGCCTTATTCTGACTGTGGACCAGTTCACACTCTTGGCAACCACTATTGAATTTCATGCTGAAATGTGGGGCTGCCAACAGGTTCATGACTCAACATGGACTGTATGACCCAGCTTTTCCAAATGAAGCCTAAACACGGGGTGGTCACAATTGTGTGTGGACTCTCAGCCGGCCACCATCATTGTACAAATCGTAGTGGCTGGCCATGTGCATAGGCACCATGTGGGTCTCGTAACTGGCTCCTCTGTGCAGTGCCCACCAGCAACTCCAAACACTCCTTCACATGTCACACAATAGCTGTCAAGAATCTGACCTAGAATCAGGCCTGTTTATCTCCAATAGTTTAACTTTGTAGTGAAAAGTGCTGTCAAGATGCAGCTGACTTACAGTGAATTTGTGGGGTTTTCAAGGCAAGAGACATGCAGAGGTGGTTTGCCATGACCCGCCTCCATGTCACAAACCTGGTATTCCTTGGAGGTCTCCCATCCAAATACTTGCCAGGGCTGGCCCTGCTTAGCTTCCTAGACCTTATGAGCAGTGTTCCCTCTAAGCTGAGTCAGTGTGAGCTAGCTCACAGTTTTTTAGCCTCTGGCTCACACATTTTTGTCTTAGCTCAGGAAGGATGGCTCCAGAGCAAACTAATTTATGCAGCGGCCAAATGGCTCGCTCCCAGCTGTAATGCCAGTAGCTCACAAAGCAGAATTTTTGCTCACAAGACTCCGCAGCTTAGAGGGAGCATTGCTTATGAGATCAGGCTAGCCTGGGCTATCCAGGTCAGGGCAACAGGTTAAATTAGAAAAATATTTCTTCTCTATGATGTATGTCTTGGTAGATATTCTTCAGAATGTTTGCACCTCTGTTCATATAAAAAGTTCCCTGCATATACAAAAGGAACATGTCAGGGAGAAGGTTCTAATTTAGTCTGCTCCTTTATATGCTAGGTTTCAATGTGCGGGGGTGGGGGTTAACATGGGGAGCATTCTAAACATCTGTTCCCTCACCTTGTGAGCATTATTATTGCAAAAAGTATGCACATGGGTGTACTGTGCCATCTGACTGAGCCACTTCTAGATCTCAGCAATTTAATTCCAACCTTAAAATGGAAGCAGGAGAGGCTTCTGTACAATTATATGTGAGCACAGCTTCACTGTTCGTATTCAGTATTGATCTTTACTATTTTACAATGTGTTGAAAGCTTGCATGCTGGCTTGGGATCGGAAAGTGAGCAGCTGAAAGAGCTGCTTGCTCTTATGAAGGAGGATTTAACCCCAGCGGAAAAAAATTATGTAAGGAAGACCATTGAACACCATAGGCTGGGCACCAACAAAGCTCTTCTGCAGCAGGTACTCATAAAATGAAATGATATCGTTTACAGTTTGGATGCCATGGAGGAGTTCTATGATTGTTGTGCATTAATAAAGGAGTAAAATGTACTACTAGAAAGGTCCTTCACAGAATAATGCTTTGTCGACATACAGTTCTGATTAAACACCTGTCCATTAATGTAGTGAGTTTCTATAGCCATGATATGTCTATGTCTGTAATATAAACAGAAAATTCAGCGTATGTGATATTATGGGAGTTTTGCAAAACTTTTCATCCATATTGATTACTGTATTGATTAAAGAAAAGCCCCTCCCCATCAGACTGGCCTTCTATTTTCTATGGTGACCAACAAGAGGCCCACTGCCAAAGCAGGAAAGCAACAGAGAAACATTAAGCCAAGTCTTGCAAAACTTGATCCACTTTTATTATTTGTCTGTATTTATTTTTTTATTTATAGACTGCCTTTCTCACTGAGACTCAAGTGAATTACACAGTGTAGGTCAATGCAGTTGATAGCACTGTAATAGGACTAGGAATACAAAGAGCTGTACATTCCCCATAAATTTGATTCCCATTGCTGGATAAAGAAGGGACATTGAGACAAGATCACGATGAAATCTGGGTGACACAGCAGGCAGATTTTTTTTCAATAGCTCAAACAGTGACATCAGAGTATGTGACATGATGGTATCTCCTCTCCTTTTAGTAAAACCTATACCAAATTCTGTTAAAAAAATTAACTGACACTCTTGCCAGAACCTCAGCTTCTTCACAGCATCTGTGAAGTCCCAGATGTTGAAACTATCCATGCACAGGCCAGTTTACAGAACTCATAGCCGAAGCACAAGGCACACCCATCCTAAATTCTTCTGGCCCTCTGACCCATAGGCACCCAGTTTCCTTGCTCTTCCCATTCTGATAATGCAAGGGAAGTGACACTACCTCTTCCGTGTGGGCCTAGCAGACCTTTGAAAGTCATCTTTTTAGAATGAAATATCGGGGGGGGGGGGGATTTCTGTAAACATTTAAATGCTGACCGTGCTCTGAAAAGCAGTCACTCGAAAACTGTAGGAATCTAGAACAGAGGTATCTGGTAGTTTGTCAACTACTGATAATCTCTTCTAGAAAACCCAGGAAGAGATTGTAAAAAGATCTGCTCTAGGATTTTTAAAAACTTTTTTCCTCCATGCTGCTTAGATGATATCTTCAGTTCTGGAGCTGCCCTGGGGCCAAACTAAATATGCTCATTTTCAAAGAGAACCCACTTAGGCTCAGAATGCCGCTGCAGAAGAGGAAGGCTCCTGCCTCCCTCCCCAGGCATTTTCCCACAGCACTGGGGTGGGTGGGTTATTTCCCCATTTTTGCTACTCCATATGCACAGGATACTCCACATGAAACAACAGAATCAGAGAAATAACACCCATAGCACTCTTTTGGCATGAGGGGAGCCTTTCCTCCCCCTGCAGTGTCATTTTGAGTTCCTTTACTAAAGACATTCTCTGCAGCTGTTGTGTGGCTACCGGGAAACACAGCTGGGCCCAGGAAACCCAAACCCAATTGTTTAAAAGGACAGAACTGAACTTGGCAACATGTGGGGGGAGGGGAGTATCTCCGGGTATTTTTCATTACTCAGAAATCGCTTTGCTTAAAGAAAAGATTGGCGACCCGTGATCTAGAAGGTTCAGCCTTAAAAGAACCTGCTAGGGATCATTAGAACATGTACATCTTGTTTGAGTGTTAGAACTTTGAATTTTTACTACATAGCTGATGTTCATAGCTGAATGTTCATGCAAACTGATTTAACTGACAGTTATTTCACCACTAATAATATAGGTGAAGGTAGTGGGAGCTACCTGTGCTGCTTGCCCATTCCCTTGCATGAAGAATCTTAAATTTCCTGTAGTGGTGCTGGACGAGTGCAGTCAGATGACAGAACCTGCGTCCCTCCTTCCCATTGCAAGGTACAATCTCTTTTTATGTCACAATTACCCTAGTGCTTTTATAACTTTAACAAGGAACTAGCTCACAAACACTGCTACTTGATAGATTCAGGCGGATAACTGTGTTAATCTGTAGTAGCAGAATAAAATTTGAGCCCAGTAGCACCTTCGAGATCAACAAAATTTTCCACGGCATAAGCTTTTGGGAGTCAAAGATCACTCACCTCTTAGTTACCTCTGAGAGCCAGCTTGGTGTGGCTAAGAGCGGCAGACTCTAATTTGGAGAACTGGGTTTGATTCCCTACTCCATATGAAGCCTGCTGGGTGACTTTGGGCCAGTCACCATTCTCTCAGAACTCTCTCAGCCCCACTTTCCTTACATGGTGTCTGTTGTGGGGAGAGGGAAGGAAGGCAATTGTAAGACACTCTGAGACTCTTAAGGTAGAGAAAAGCGGGTTATAAAAAATCTACTCATAATACCTTTGTAAGCTCTTTGTAGCAAGTCAACAGCTAGAGACATAATCTCTTGTGACTGAGCATCCTGCCAGTAACTGGACAAAAGACTATTTACAGACTTGTTTGTGACTGTGGTTATTTGATAAATGTAATTAACCTTTCAGTATCATTAAAGGATGGGCCGCGGTGGCTCAGTGGTTAAGACGCTGAACTGCAGACTGGAAGGCCGGTAGTTCAGCAGTTCGAGACCCAAGTGCCACATGACAGAGTGAGCTCCTGTCTCTGGTCCCAGCTCCTGCCAGCCTAGTAGTTCAAAAGCAAGAAATTGCAAGTAGATAAAAAGGTACCGCTTCAGTGGGAAGGTAACAGTGTTCCATGAGCCTCAGCGTTTAGTCATGCCAGTCACATGACCACGGAGAAGTCTTCAGACAGCGCCGGCTCTTCAGCTTGGAAATGGAGATGAGCACCGCACCCCTAGAGTCAGATTCGACCTGCTTTCAAGCAAGGGAAACCTTTAATCTATCATTAAAGGCAGAACTGTGGCCCTTTAAATACTTATGTAAAAAAAATTGAATAAAGGTTTGGGCAGCAGTGTCTGGAAGCCACATAAAAATCTCCGGTTATGCAACTGGAATAATGTATGTAGATCTTCAGTAGTTTTCTGAATGACTGTAAGCAAAATAAGTGCCTGCGCACAGAATTTGCAAGGCCTCCCAGCACAGTGGAGGCTAGAATGTAAGAAGTCATTTGAGATGTAGGGCTGAGTGGGAAAGGTACCACTGCAGATCTTGAGGGCTAGTAGCACAGGGCACATCTGGTCAAAGTCTGCAGTTAAATTCTTGTGGAGTTCAGTGGCAATTTTAAAACATGATTTTTTTTCTCTCGCATTAAAGTTGATGGGCCTTTGAAGTATCTACAGTGTGCTGGTTCTTTAAAAAAAAAACGTTTTGCAGCTTCACTCAGTGCTGTGAGTGATGTTTTATGGGTTACCTTTGTAGGTTTGGGTGTGAAAAGCTGATTCTGGTTGGTGACCCTAAGCAGCTTCCGCCCACCATTCAAGGATCAGAAAGTGCACGGGATAATGGTTTGGAGCAAACCCTTTTTGACCGACTCCGTTTGATGGTATGTACTCCTGCTCATCTTGAAAGGGTGCTCTTTTTGTGATGCTAACCTCGTTGGAGGGCGCACATTGGTTTAGAAAAGCCTCTTGTAGAGAGACATTTCTTATCATTTGCTAGTTAACACAGCCCTGAAATAGCATTTTCCTAAGAGCTGGTTCCCATCGAATTGTTTGCCTTTGTGTTTGCTTCCTGTGAAGAATCGTATTCTGGGAAGGTATACCCTTGACAAATGTGATGTCTAAATTTGTCATTCATATGTTTTAAGCAAGAATCTCACACTCTCCTATTTTCTAAAGAATCATCCCAGAAAAAAAATCAATATATATTGTCAGTTCCAATGTAATTCTTTTTTTTGGGGGGGAGGGTGTTTTTTTGTGTATTTATGTGTGTATGCCTGGAAGTCATGGTTGACTTCTGGCAACCCCTAGTGGGGCTTGGACGTTTCAGAGAGGTGGCTCACTGTTGCCTGCCTATGCATCCCAGCCCTGGTATTCCTTGGAGGTTTCCCTTCCAAGTACTTGCCAGGGTTGGCCCTGCTTAGCTTCCGAGATCAGATGAGATCATGCTTGTCAGGGTTTTCATAAACGTCCTATAAAATGTTCTTTCCATTTAGTCATGAGTAGTCCACCACCCACACTCTAGCTGTTTTAGCTCTTGTTTCATCCTCAATAGCTCCAGGGTATGCCATGGGGCTAGTTTGGCATGAGGGCGAGAGGGCCCTCAATTCTCTGTAGAAATGAAAAATATTTTAAAATTACTCTATTACACCTTGCTGACAAGCAGTAACCCTTTCAATCTTTATGCCCTTCAATAATTTTTCTCCTTGGCATTTTGTAGGGACATGAGCCAGTGCTGCTCAGGACACAGTACCGTTGTCACCCAGCTATCAGTGCCATCAGCAACAACTTGTTTTATGATGGAGATTTGTTGGACGGCATTTCTGAAATGGATCGAAACCCTCTTGTAGACTGGTTGCCAACACTGTGTTTCTACAATGTTAATGGCTCAGAGCAGGTATGTATTTTATTGGCTTTTAAACCTATGCTCTTTTCTCCAGAAGGGACCAACCTAGGTAAGCGCTGCCCTGGAACATACTGGTGCTTGGGCAAGTGGAGTGTAACAGTATTTTGACCTTGAAATCTCTTCACCTGAGTTTATGCTTGGGGATTACAAATGGTAGCATTCATATATCACAACAAACTGAGGTTTTAACCCATGATGAGCTTGAGCCCAGCTGCTACCATATTCAGTGTTCCCTTCATTCAATCTTCCTTCCCTTGCTTGTCCCTGCATGCACAGAACTCAGTTCAAGGCCTCTGTCTAAATACAGACACCTGGGCAAACTTTAGTTGGTTTCCCTTCCAGTTTAGCCAGTTTACAATCCTAGTCTGTAGTGCAAAAATGAACTATACAGTTTGCCCAGATACCTGCATCTGGATCTCATGGCACACTAGAACTTCATTCAAAGCTTTCCAAACATGGAAGCTTTCAGCGGCACTTTGTGTGCTGGGGGGCTTGGCCAGAGGCTGAGTTTGGACCCATCATGATGTCTGAATATGGCCAGTGTTACTATAGAATAGGATTGTTCTCCCTTCTTTTGGGGGGATAAAACTGCATTTTCTCTCTGAAGGATTCAAGAAATGCTTTCGGCGATATCTTTTTGAAGCTTTAATCTTGCATTTCCAATTTTCAATTCTATTTGGAAATGAAGTTGAACTTGGGACTGTTTTAAACGTTTCCAGTTCCTACTTGGTTCAGTACAAATACACAATTGCATGTAGTGATCTATGTTTAAGTTGAACAAAGGGAATTTTGTACCACTTGAAATCACTTCCAGGATAAATACATCTAATTCTCAACATGGCTCCGTCTGTGGACTGGGCCATGTACAAAGAAGGATAATAGTTCTACAAACCTGGAGGGCAACCAGGACTTGCTGCTCACCCCCTGCCACTGAAGCTGTGATGCTGCAGGTGGGTGGGGAAAGAGGATGAGGATGCAGGCATTGAGCAGTCCACCACTGCCACCCCCACCATCACCGAGACAGTGAAGCTGCAGGCAGACAGAGGAGAATGAGGAGATAAAAAGGAATGGGAGCTGCCACTGCCTTCCACCAGCACCCCTGCCTGCCCGCCCCCCACCAAGGCAAGAACTGGGCTTGAGGAGAGGAGAAGCAAAAAGGAGGGGTGGACAGAGCAGCAGCAGTGATAGGGAAGGGATGGCCAAGCAAACAGAGCAGCAGCACTACAGCCAAGAAGCCCCATCTCCCCCCCCCCCCCGAGTACCTTTTGGGTCCCCTCTCCAATTATTATGTTACTTTGTAGTCACACTAAGAAGCTAAAGCGCTTGGGATTCAAACCATGTAGGTAGCCGGGTGTGTGAAATCACTTCTATGTTGGGGCAGAAGCAAGTTAACCACAACATTTGGGCCGCTAACTTAGAAACAGTTGCACTGATGTGTTAAAAGAACCTTATCCTATGTGCAAACTATTTTGCACATATGACAGTGAAACTATTTTGCACATATGACACCCTGTTCAGACCCACAGTGTAATCCCAAAATGAGTTAAACCCAGCTAAATCTGTTGAACTCAGTCTTTGTGGCTTCTCATTGGGCTGGTCATGCATTGTGTAGTTTGAAGTCTGTTTTCTTGTTTTCCAGATGGAAAGAGACAACAGCTTCCACAACATGGCAGAATCTTTTTTCACTGTCAAGTTAATCCAGTCTCTAATTGCCAGTGGAACAGAGGGATCCATGATTGGGGTAATAACCCTGTATAAATCACAAATGAGCAAGGTGAGTTTATACACACATGCAAAATCCATTTGAACATTTACCAGTGCATTATTAAGTGTATGTATTTTCCCTGTTTTTCTTATCCGTTTCAAACAGATTAATCTTACTTAGACAAACTAATTTTGGTACAGGGCCATAGCTAGCACAGGGCACACGGGGCGATGCCCCCTCCAAAATTCGCAATGCCCCCGAATCTTAGAGTTCACCCCATGAGAGAGGCAGCGGTCTGAGCAGGTAGGGCTGGGGCACAGGGTTGGGGGGCAGTTCCCTCTCACGACTAGTAACCACCACTAGCTCTTGCTTCTTGTTGAGATTATTTGCTTTTTTGTGGGATGGGGCAGGTATACAACCAAGCAGACTAAAACAGAAAGGGACTGGGGGAGGAGGAAGAGAAGCTTGTTCTAGTGCTGATCCTAACCAGCACCTGTTCACAAAAACCTGCCACTGTTGCAGGTTGGAAAATGAGACCCTGTTTGAAGTCAGGAGTTTGGTAAAAAAATATTAAGTTAAATATTTAAGAAATGTACAGTGTATCTTCTGATGGTATATAAAGGCTCTATTCAGTATTGAGTCAATATTTTTATGGTTATAGCAACTAATTAGTATGCAAGTTCATTAAGGAAGCATCTAAATAACAAATAGAAAAATGTCGTTTTAAATCAATGGTTTAAATAGACCTTTATTTGTTTGTGATTAAATCAATGATTTAAATGGCCTTGATCTAAATCAGAACTGTCATCAGCATCTGTCTATTGCTTTCAGGTGATCAGAATGTTTTACTCCCAAGCTGCTACATTCAGCCTTTGCTCTGCTCTGCTTTCCTGTTCTTCTACCTTTCTCCCTCCCCAAGACACTGTTGTTGTTCATTTAGGGGTGGGTGGGAAAATGATAAATTGCTTCATGTACACTATATAATAAATATTATCATTCCCCCAGTTGCGGATGAGAGCTGAGCTGGGGAGGAGGGGGGAGTTCATGGCAGAGGCAAAATTTGGACCAGATAATTCATGATTTGTAATTCAGACTCCTAGACATAACCATGAGGCTGGATCCAATGACTTGTGTTGGCTAAGTAGGGAACCTCCCTCTGATGGAGCAAGGATCCTTCTGCTGAAGCACAGTGTAATATTCAGAAGTCCATTTCCTGGTTTGTTTGTTTTTTTAAGTTCCAGGATACCAGAATCTGGAGTAGATCAGGTTTTACTTATGGCTAGGCAAGTTGCTTTCTGTGTTTACTCTGAAGAAAGGTGCACTTGGTTTTCTTAAGGAGACCCTCAGCTTATTCCTGAATGATTGTGGCAGCTTACACAGGGCTCCTCGTTTAGCAGAAGCCCAGTGTGTGTTTCTAATCTCTATGCTGTGAGCAACTGGAATATGTTTTAACAGGATGTGTGAATGTTCATAATTTTGAAGCCCACTGGATGATCTTCAGCCAGTCATTTTCTTTCATCCTAACCTAACTTACAGGATCATTGTGAGGATAAAAATGGAGGAGGGCAAGAGAAACCATGTATGCCATCTTGGGAGGAAGACTGGGAAAATCTATTGTATAAATAAAATGGTAAAATGGCATTGCTTTGATCTGCCTACAGATTTGTAACTTACTTGCTGCAGTAGACTCAGATGCTTCCCAAATTAAAGCTGTCCAGGTGTCCACTGTTGATGCTTTCCAAGGAGCGGAGAAGGAAATCATTGTGTTATCTTGTGTAAGAACAAGACAAGTTGGCTTCATAGATTCAGAGACAAGAGTGAATGTGGCTCTGACCAGAGGGAAGCGGCATTTATTGATCGTGGGAAATCTGAACTGTCTAAGAAAGAGCAAACTATGGGAAAGTGTCATTCAGCACTGTGCAGGTAAAACAGAGTACTTTTTAAAAGTTAGTTTTTGTTATCTTAGATCCAGGGAACTGGGGCAATAAAAAGCTAGCAGTTTTTGTGCATGGTAATACTTTTCTGTGTTTCTGTTGTCTTTTTGACAGTGGTGGCTTGCATTGCACTGTCGTGTGGTGTCCTTGTGGTGCCTTGCATCCTTCCTGGTATTGTAATTTTCCTGCTAATCCTAACTGTTTTAACTTAGAAGCAAGTGTTGTGGGGCTTGGTGTCTCGTGCTCAACCTGTAGCGCTGGCGAGTGTAGTAGACTTAGAAGTCAGCATGGCCCAACAGGCAAATGAAACAGTTACACACCCTGGGATGCAGCTGTTCCATTCCTTTATGTCCAGCACAGAGCTGTGGTGTCATTCAGTGCACGATTTATTTATTTATCTATTTCAACTTTTACCCCGCCCTCCCAGCTGAAGCCGGCTCAGGGCAGCTTACGACAAATAATCACATTAAAAACATAAATTACAATTAAAACAGCTCTAAAACCATAATAAAGTGCTAGTGATCGTTCACCATAAACGGTAGCAGCCATCATTCGCAGTTCTCAACCCGTCATCAGCTCACAGTATTCGTTTTAGATGTTCCAGCGGTACTTGTTGTTCTTGAGGCTGTTGGTGGCGATTGGTGGCAGCTTCTAGACTCCGGGACCCTCTCTGATGTTCTTCATTGGTGGTGGCGGTGGCTCCCAAAAGCCTGGTGGAAGAGCTCCGTTTTACAGGCCCTGTGGAATTGTAAAAGGTCCCTCAGGGCCCTGATCTCCTCCGGGAGCTCATGATGGAAGAGTCACGAACCCATTCTTCTCTGGCAGCCACCACCACGAGTGGTGTACCATAGCCTTCAGGGTCCAGTTCAGCATTTGGCCCCTTCCCTCAGACTTCACTGCTGGAGCCAGCCTGGGCTCTCATATATAGGGGCATGACCCATGCCTTTGAGGCCATCATCCAGCTTTGGCTGATGGAGTTAAACTCATCTGACTGGGATTGCCCTTCCCTGTTGTTGTCCAGCCTCTATCCCAGTCCCAACCACTGGAACATCTCTTGTCTGGATGAGCCTGGGATGGGCATGCACATCCCATCTCTTTGCCACAGTAAATCTCACTGATTTCAAAGGAAGCTGTTTACAAGTACATATGCTTACAAATGCAGCCTTTGTTGACTCTAGCAACAAGGCTTCTTATCTTAGGGTCAAGTTATACAATATGTTTGGTCACAAGTTGGGTTGGAGTTTCCCTGACTTCATTCACCTGCCCTGCAGCCAAATTACAGCTGTGGAGAACTTACTTACAGGGCCAGATTTGGATCATGACTGTGGTGCTGGGGAAGGAGGGACCCCAGCCTCTCTCTCTCCTCCCCTGTACCACTTTCCCAAGCTAAAATGAATTGCGATGGGGCAAAAAGTAACACCCCCCCACACACACACACACATGCCATTTTAGCTTGGGGAAATAATGCAAGGGGGAGGCTGAGCCCCTCCTCCCCCAGCACGGTCATTTCAATCTGAGTGAGGCTCTTGGGTAAGATCATGTTATTGTGTATTTTGGCCTTTAGAAGGGTCTGTAAATAGGGTGGATTATTTTTCTCCCCAACTTTGTGAATTATTTTTCTCCCCAACTTTGTATTCTGTTTCTTGACAAACAGTCCTGTATGTTTTATGAGGAGTGGTCCTATAGCCTTGCCCAAAAGTAATTGGAAGGATGAACCATGCAGCCAACAATGGTTCTCAAACAAATCACCGCGAAGCACTGATTCCTTATTCTGGAAAGAATGGGGAGGGCTGCTGCCCACTCTTTGTTCTCAAACCAAAAAACACTTTATCTGTGCTTCTCTTCTGCTTGGACGAAGTATAGAGAACCATCCAACCTGACTGGAGAGTTCCTAGACCGGATAGGCAAATGTTTCCAGCACCCCTGTTTTCCTGTCTGCTGCCTCCCTAGAGATTCTCTGCTGCTGAAAGCCACTTCTAGTAAAGTGGCTGTCAGAGAGGCCCAGCAGAGGAAAATTGACAAAAGTAAAAGGGGAAACATCCTTCCTTTCTTACCACTTCAAGTTTTTCATGTTTTCATGTATGATCCAAAATTCCACACAAATCATGACTTCATTCCGCTCTGAGTCCCCTCTTCCCAACTTCCCAAATGAAACTTGCTTGTTTTCAAAATGAATTTGCCACATGGTATGGGAGATTGTCACTCAAGTACTGCAAGTCCAGACTTCCTTTCTTTGGGTGTATTGTACTGGTTCAGGTCAACGTATTTAGGAAAAAAGGGACGGATATAAACTCATGCAAAAGGGCAAAGAATTTTCCACCAATTTCCCCTTCCCACCAAAGATTCCCCACCACTGCCACCACACGCTGCATCTTACACCCAGAGATCCATGGGAAAAACCTGTTCTGTGAGCAGTTATATCTTTTTTTAAGACTGAATATTTTAGAAATAAGTGTATTGTTCTGTTACTTCTAGGGAGCAAAGATGGATTACAGCATGTTAGCCAATGTGAACAGAAATTGAATGACATTCTTAAATCTTACATGGAAAGGAAGAAGGAAGAAGAAAGGAAACAAAAGGAAAAATCTAGAAGTAAATCACTTTCACAGAGAACAGATGTATAAAATGTTTTTTCTATGTAAACTGTGCAAATGTTTGTAAAATTATTCTTAAATATATTTAATGTTTCTCTGGTATATCTAAATTTTATTATATGGATTAAAATGTTAGTGAAATACTTTCACATTATAGACTTGGTAACCAAATAATTCCCAACTATATATAAGATATCTAGTAATTCGGCATTTCCATTCAATTTTCCCCCCTAAGTGGCTATTTTAATTGTTGTATTGGTATCTAAGTTCTCTACAGCAGAATAAAACCAGGATTTTTAATAACTATTGTGGATCTTTCAACAAAGGATAACATTTGTAAGTGTTTATCATGGTCTCTCACTCACAGGTGGTTTTCTTAAATAAATAAAATCTAAAACTGCTTGCATCAAGTTAACATTGCCTAACCCAAGGAAGGGGAAAAACTAAAGTGGCAGTTTTGAAAATTTTATGCAGACTGGATAATTTTTGTCACTTTAAAAAAGTGATACTTTGACTCAAGGCAAGTAGTAGTTTGTTGTACAATCAGCATTCTGGATTCCATTATAGATTTCTGATCCTATTGATCTATATGATATGAGCTATAATATATTAACAGTCAACTTTGATTAACTTTATAGGGATGTCTACAGCCTGTCTCCAAACAAGGCATGAGAGAGACACTTGCGATTATGGATATAATAAAATATACGTATTTATACTTATGTGGAAGAGGGAACCAGTGAAATGCAAATACTGTTAGCTGTTTTTAACAACTTAAATCGGGTATTGCCTTTCCAACATTTGTAAGACAACTGGGTGGGGGCTAGATGGATAACCTGAGAATCTGTGGAATCAGCATGAGTGTCTTGCCGTTGTTCTACAAACCTTTGTATAGCTTTGAGACACTTTTTCCCAGTGTTGCTGCCTGTCCGTCCAGTTTGGCATGCTGTTATTCTGAATGCAGCCAGAGTGTTTTAGGATTACAATGCCCAACTAATCATACATGAAAAGAAGTTTTATTTAAACTTTTGAAAAGTTGGGTTTAAAACTTTTATGTAAACATATGGGCTATAAGCCTGTGAGGAAATTACAATGAATGCCTTAAAGTTTCTTTGAGGGAAAACCCTTAGGTAATAGTGCTTAATAGTTTTTTTAGTGCATTTGAAGTGTTCAAAGTATTTCTCACACATTCTCAGTCATTGTGCATCCCTTATCTAATAACATACATAATGTTTAAAAAGTTTTCCCATGAGTCTCCAAATGCTGCTTCTTCAGTTAAGTTCTACTACTTATGTTGCTTTTAAAATGTCTTCATCATCTTCTAGTGTGCTGCAAAATAATCTATTTTTAAAAAGATTGGCATAGAGACTGTTCATTTAAGTTTCTCCCTTAAATAGCATCACAGTCTTCTTTCAGATGACTTTTAAAAATGTGCCTCTGGTTTCTAAAAATATTTATTAGAAAATATTTATAGAACGTATGTATAGAACAATTTAATTTAGCAGATCTCGTTTGAGTTTTTTAAATGTTAAAAGTCTTGCTAAAAATCCAGTGTTTCTCACAAAATCTTGTCCATTAGGTGGTGCCAGTGTACTCCGCTGTCCATACACGAGCTTGCAGAGAATTAGGGATGGTCATCTAATTGTTAAAAAAAAAATAGCAAAGAAAGAAACATTTGCATAATCTCACATGAATTTAAGATAATTATTCAGATGCAATGCCAGTTGCTTGCCAAAAGACATTGAAGTTGTGTTGAAGGAAACAAAACTTCATGGCGCTCCAGACTTTGCAGACTGTCTGCATTAGTAGAATTGAAGGGAAAGCTTCGCTATCATATTTTGATCCCCCCCCCCCCAAAGGCCTTCTTTTAGCCAAAGCTGTCACTGAAGACACTAATAAGCAAAGTGTGGAAGAAGAAGAAATAGCAGCAGCCTGAATAGCGTCTTTTAAATTACTGGTGACACCCCTGTTCCAGCTCCCTAAAATCTCAATCAACAATCCATTAGAACTCAACAGGAGTAAAACTAAATCCTCGTTTAAGTGTATTTATCCGATCTCTTTTCTCTCTTTCAAATGCTAAATCCATTTCAGCATATGCCCCCTTCTTTCTCTCGCCTTTCTCTAAAGCCTGGCAGCCTACACTTCTCTTGTAAATATGAAAGATGCTAATCATATGACATATCACGTCTCAGTCGGAGCTTGGAATAAAGCCCTGAGATTTGGGATCATTGCCTCCAGACAACAGCTTCATCAGCCGGAAAGTTGGTTTTTTTCTCCTTTCCTTCAACTCTCAATCCCTTCTTTGTCTGAGGGAAAATGCAGCCAACTCAAGATACCCTGGCCATATGGTTCACTCTGTATTTTCTTAGTTGAATTCTGAATTGTTTCTGTGACTTGCTAAGGGTGGTGGGGTGTTTTTTTTGTTTTTTTGGGAGGGTATAAAGACATAGTAGCACTAGTTGTGCTTGGGACAGCTTTGCAGAAGGCACTGCATGATATTCATGTGTTCCTTTTATACCGTCTGTGCAGCTCTTTACTCACAACTAATTTCTGTTGTTGAAAGCTTGCATCTATATCTTTATTAAAATATATCCTGCCTTTCCTCATGATCCAAGGTGGCTTACAATACTAGTTTAAAAACACTGTCAGTTCAAACCAAAATAAAATAACCAACCCCAAATCTCTCCCTTCCCTAAATGTACTAGGGAATAAATCCCACTGCTAACCAGTGTTTTTCATGGACATTACACATGGAACATCCTAGAACATATATTGAGCAGGGGCAGATCTAAACATTTGGTGGCAGCAAGTCCCTCTCAAATAATGGGATTTATTTTGGATTATATTTAAGATTGTGCTGTGAAGCATAAATAATTCTCCATCTCCCTTCCTCTGGTACTCAGTATACACATGGATCATTTTATACTGATGCTTTTGGCGCGCAGGAGCAAATACAGAGCAAGTTATAGAATTTGGGTCTGCCTCCACTTTTTGGACCGTTTCCTCTCTGAGGCCAGTATAGAGATTATTTTGATAAGAACCTGTCAGGTTTCTCCCCCACCCCTTTCTCCGGAGATTTGTGTGTGTGTGTGTCTCCCCTTGCCCTCCCTCCTCCTTTCCCCAAAGGCCCTTTCAACAAATCATTAAATTCTACAGAGGTGGTCAAGCCAGGCCTGCTTTTCATGCATTTGGGGAAGGGAGGGGGGAGAGAGAAAAGAGTCCTTGAAGTTTAGAAGATGCCCAAGGAAAACTCCTTGAATGACATCAAAAGGCCGGGGTTTCCATAGCTGTTGAAGCACGAGAGCCGTGTAAGCTGCACAAAGGCGGGCTGGGGCAGTGGGACTGTCCCACTGCTCTATCCCAGCACAATTGGGTCACTGAAATAGGGAATTAATTACCATTGGAGAGTGGGCAGCCCATTCACCGCTGCCTGAGTTTTATTAAACGCCCATATAAATAACAAAACAACTCTTGTGGCTGCACTATTCCTACACGCCAAAGGAAGGATTAGCTTGGGGATTAACATCTTAAAGTCTATGAGACTTTCTGACTCAAGGCTCCGAGCTGGTAATCGTATTTGTCTCCTGGTTCAGCGATTAGTGCTCTGGCTCTCTCGCTCGCACCTTCGCCTCGCCCGCCCCGCCCAGTGTCCCTTTTTGCAGGCTCGATTCTTTGGACGGGGCGGGGGCGGGGGACCGCTTCTGCCGGCTCTCCTCACCACCACAGTCGGCTGTTCTTTTGGCCACAGCTATAGA